CTCTTTGTCTCTTTATTGGTGTATTTAGTCCATTTACATTCAGCATAATTACTGATAGGTATGAGTTTAGTGCTCTCATTTTGAAGTGTTTGTGCATTGTTCACAGTTTCCTTGTACCACTTAATTTTCTGTGCTGAGTCATTTTTCTTTATGTATTTTCAACTTTTTCACAGTTGTTGATTTTGTATTTGCTGAGTCTTTATATTTTTCTAGTTTTTTATTTTGACTTGTAGGATTGTTAGTTTCCTTTGTGGTTACCTTAATATTTACCCCTGTTTTTCTAAGTTTATACCAGTCCTTTATTTCTTTACATTGCCTTGACTTCCTCTCAATATAAAAAATTTATGTCTACATTTTCTAAGTCCCTCTTTTTTGTTTTAATGTTGCCATTTTTTACATAGTGACATCTGTTTCCCTATTTTCAGTGTTTAGCTTTGATTTACTTTTGTGACTTCCCTATCTGGGTTGGTATCTGGTTGCTCTGTCCTGTGTTCTAGTCTTGGGTTGTTATCTGATGTTACTGATTTTCTAACCAGAGGACTCCCTTTAGTATTTCTTGTAATTTTGGTTTGGTTTTTGCAAATTCCCTAAATTTCTGTTTATCTGGAAATGTCCTAATTTCACCATCATATTTGAGAGACAGTTTTGCTGGAGATATAATTCTTGGCTGGCAATTTTTTTCCTTCAAGGCTTTATATATGTCATCCCATTGGCTTCTTGCCTGCATGGTTTCTGCTGACTAGTACAAGCTTATTCTTATGGACTCCCCTTTGTAGATGACTTTTTGTTTCTCTCTAGCCGCTCTGAAAATTCTCTCTTTATCTTTGGTTTTGGCAAGTTTGATTATGTCTTGGTGACTTTCTTTCAGGATCTACCTTATGTGGGGGGGTTAGAGGAGTATCTTGGATAGACTTCTTCTCATCTTTCAAGGTATCAGGGAAGTTTTCTGCCAACAAATCTTCAATAATTCTCTCTGTATTTTCTGTTATCCCCCCTCTTCTGGTACTCCAATCACTCATAGGTTATTCCTCCTGATAGAATCCAACATAATTCTTAGGGTTTCTTCATTTTTTTTAAATCCTTTTATCTGATTTTTCCTCAGATAAGTTGGTGTCAAGTGCTTTATATTCAATATCACTAATTCTGACTTCCATTGCCTCAATTCTGCTCCTATGACTTTCTATAGAGTTGTCTAATTCTGAAATTTTATTGTTAATCTTCTGGATTTCTGACTGCTGTCTCTCCATGGATTCTTGCAGCCTGTTAAATTTGTCATTATGCTCTTCCCTAACCTTTTTAATTTCCTCTCTTGCGTGTTCTGCGTTTTTATTTCCTTCTGAATCTCTGGAAGAGTCTGTATATTAATCTTTTGTATTCTGCCTCCAGTAATTCCAGAAATTTTCCTCCTCTGAAAAATTTCTAGATTCTTTATTTTGGGAGCTTGCTGAAGCCATCATGGACTGCCTCTTTATGTGATTTCATATTGACTGCTGTCTCCAAGCCATCAGTAAGTTATTATATTTATTTATGTTTGCTTACTGTGTCGTAGCTTCTTGTTTTGTTTTGATATGCCCAAATAGGCTGCTCGTGTGAGCTAGTTTGATTATTGGCACCTTTGAAGCTCTAATGTCCTGTCACCAGGTGGTTAGATCTGTTACTAGGTATGTGAGCTCAGGAGTCCGCCCACTCCTCCTGTATGGATTCAGCTCAGGTGCCCAGGTAGATAGCCACCAAGTGTGTGGTACAGGCTCTCACCTAGTCCTAGGCAGGTACGGTTGATTGGTATAGCCATAGACATTTGGCTGCAGCAGGGCAACACACTCTTAATAAGGCAAGGGGCTGACAGCCGACCCCAAGTGTCCAGAGGAAGGCGTGTCACTGCTCCCTACGGCACACAGATGGGTGGATTTTGCAGCCGGACTATGAGCACCCAATGCTGTTGGCTGTAAGGACTGGCGGGCACCTCTTATTCTTGGGCCCCTATTGCAGGTGGCTAGGTGGTGTGGGTGGAGCCACCAGCCCTCAGGCCCCTGATGTGGGTAGGTAAAGACCTTGCTTAATGGGCGGAGCAGTATCAAATGTCATGAACCTGCCACTTCACAGCTGAAACAGTTGAAGTTAGTCTTCAGGTATATACCCTGTTGTACTGTGGTAATGAGGGCCTACGCTGTTGAAATGAGCCCACAAGTCTATGCAGGGGGAAAGGCACTCAATGTCCATGGATCCCTTAGGCCTGTGCCTAGGCAAAGGAGCTTTGCCTACCCTGAGTTCCTGACTTAAGGTAGCTGGCAGTTTATTTTTTCCCGTTTGTTAATTGGTTCACTCTCCAAGGCTGGGAGAATGCCTCAGGGTGTGTGACGGATCCTACTTCCGGCCCAGGGGACTCGGCAATTGCTGAAGCCAGTCCAGGACCCAGTGCAGAGCAAGGAGTGGGGAAGTAAACAGGAGAGAGGTTTTTCCCTAATGGGGGTGTTTTTTGATGTGCATAGTAGACCAGATGCAAGTACTTATCTTTTGCTGAATGAGGGCTGCTTCTCACTGGTTCTGAGTGGCTGAGTAGACTCTCTGCTGCTGGGTCTCTCCTGGTGTGGAAAACGCCTCCCAAGTACTGGTGCTTGCCTGCCTCATCGCTCACCCATGAGCTAATCAGGTCTAAAGGGTTCAGGCTCTCGCCGGGTCAGGTCTGGTAACTCCTTGCTGCTTCCGAACTGTCTCTCCCTCCCCCTGCCACTCAGTCTGGTTCCTCAACTTTGCTTTTGATGTTCAGGGCTCCTAGATTGTCAAATATAATTGATCCACTTATTTTTTTGGGTCTTTGTTGTAAGAGGGTCCACCGGAAGTGTCTGACTACTCCGCCATCTTGGCCCCACCTCTGGTTCCTTACTTCTTTGAGGTATCTCTGCTCATCTGTCAGTCCATCAATGAGTTGAAGGGAAAATAATAAACCTTGTCCACAGCCAATTCATCTCTGGCAATTTCCATCCCACTTGACTCTATATTCTACACAGTACTTATTACCAAACTACATACCATCTAGGTTAATTTTTGTTTATTGCTTGTCTTTCTGACTACAATGTAGTATCAATAAGGACAACCATTTACACTGTTTCCTGATTTATAACCATGTCCAGAAGAATGCATGGCACATACTGGGCACTGAATAAGTGCACCCTGAATGAATAAATTTCTGTTTGACATTTTTGTGAACATTTAAGTCAAGTCATAAAGACAAAAAAGCTTTTCTAAGTAAGCTCTGTAAAACAGGAAAGGAGCAGAAAACTGTACTTTTGCTGGGAAACTGAAAGGCTGTACCAGAGACAGGGACTACCAAGAGAAGAAAATCAAATGTAAAAAATCACTTCATAGAAAAGAAAGTGACGGCCTAGGCACAGGTTCCTTTTGAACCTTTGGGCTGTCTTTTTGAAAAGAGTATTGAAAATCTGTGGATGAGGATGAACTGACCACTCACAACAGGTTTTCAAATTGAAAGACTCCTGCCCATTAGTGAGCTGTGAAATGAATTTAAAAGCGTGTAATAAGCATAAAAAAAACAACAACAAAATATCAGAGTATAATCACAAGCAAATATATATATATGTATCGTTACAGGAAATGCTTTCTCAAGTCACAAACACGAAACGTTTGCACTAGTTACAATAAAATACACCTTTCTGACTATGGCTTATGCTTGAAAATGTTGTAACAGTTTGGATCAGGAAGCTATCAAGCCCTTCATTAACCAAACTATTCAAATGGGAAGGTGAAATGATCAGAAATATAGGCAACACTGAGCTGTGTGACTTACTTTCCTCTCGTATTCAATCGGCTCCCTCTAGCACAGGGAAGGGGAAACCCAAGGGTAGTGATGTGGATGTGGACTTTAGAAGGGGAAATGGGCATCAGCTGTCAAATCTTTCAAAGGAAATTAAGCTTGCCTGGTTACTGTCTAAGACCTCAGGAAAGAGACTTTTTTTTCTTTTTCTTTTGGTAGGAATGCCTATCTCAGAAGTAGACATCAGAATCCTCATATAAAAAATGTAGTATTTCATTCCAGACATGAATATGCCCCCCCATGGAAGGCTCCAGGACGTCTATAGGGAAAACATCTCTTAGCACAATCACAAGATATCACTTTGAAGACTAAGGTGCGCCTGACACAAGCCATGGTGTTTTCAATTGCTTCATATGCATGCGAAAGCTTGACAATAAGGAAGACCGAAGAAGAACTGACACCTTTGAATTGTGGTGCTGGAGAAGAATACTGAATATACTATGGACTGCCAAAAGAACGAACAAATCTGTGTTGGAAGAAGTACAGCCAGAATGTTCCTTAGAAGCAAGCATGGCAAGACTACATCTCACATAATTTGGACGTGTTATCAAGAGGGATCAGTCCCTGGAGAAGGACATCACGCTTGGTAACATAGACAGTCAGCAAAAAAGAGACACGGACTGACACAGTGGCTGCAATCGTGGGCTCAAGGATAACAATGATTGTGAGGATGGTGCTGGACCGGACAACGTTTCATTCTATCGTACATAGGTTCACTACGAGTCGAAACCGAAAGCACCTAGCAACAACTGTTACAATTTACTGGAAATTTGTGTTCCTCCTGCATACTCATGAAGTAATCAGTAGCAGTGTTTTTCCAACATTTTTGTCAGTTGACACACTTGAATAAATGCCATTTATTTCAACACCTAGACACGTGTGCATAAATATGTATTACTAAAACATAGGTTGACCTACTTCTAAACCAGTGTCTCCTTTCATTAAATCTCCTCCTATTGGCTCTCACACCACACATGCAACCAGCCAGGGTGTGTGCTGCAATATGCTCTTTTTTTCCTAATGAACCCTGGTATTTTCTACTATTTTATTTCACAAAAAATTGCTGGTAGGAGAGTCAGTCCTCAAAACTCAGGTGACCATTCCAAGACCATTCAAAACCTTGAAAATCTGGGGAGATAAAGACAATCCAGAGAGAGGCTGTCCTCACCCACTGACACCAGGTTCCGGAAGGTCTCAACCATCACGTCTCGGTACAGCTTCTTCTGGGCAGGGTCTAGCAGCCCCAGCTCATCCTCAGTGAAGACCACAGCCACGTCCTTGAATGTCACTGCTTCCTGTAACATCAAGCACAAGTATGCCCTGTCTTAGAACTATAGTCCTCTTGAAAAGGTTGGGAGGATAGGGGGAAACTGTTCCAGATTTTGAGAAATATGAGTTAAAGCATAGATTACCCAGTCCTTCTTTCCAGTGCCATACACTGATTTTCCTTATCTTCACAGACAATGCGGCAATGAATGGAGCACTTGTATTTGTACTTGGTGTCCTCGGAGAGTAAACCCCTAGAACTATAAATGTTACATGCTGGGACACACATGATTTACCTTTTGATTCCTATGGCCAACTGCCTCAGAAAACATGGCCAATTTATTTTCAATGCACCCACCATCCTATGACTACTAAAAGGTGTTACAGCTCTCCTCACTTCCTTCTGAGCCCTCACCAGGATTGTCTTTGATGTTGATAACTTCACCAAAAGTTTCTTCAAGGCAATCTAGGCTTTTACTATTAGGCACCTTAAAACTTCCAGCCTCTACCCATTACCCAATTCTAAAACCATATAAATATCGCTGACTCTATGTAAGATGGAAACCCTGGTGGCGCAGTGAGTGGTTAAGTGCTACAGCTGCTAATCAAAAGGTCAGCAGTTCGAATCACCAAGTGCTCCTTGGAAACTCTGTGGCGCAGTTCTACTCTGTCCTATAAGGTTGCTATGAGTCAGAATCGACTCGATGGCAACAGGTTTGGCTTTTTGGTTTTCTACATAAGATGGCAAAGCAGGTTAAAAATTCTTTAGATCCTTTTGGTAATCTGATAAGGAAAAACAATTCATTTTTATAATTCTCATTTATTCATTTATAAATGAATACCATCATCTTTTCATATATTTGGTGGCCATCTCTATTTCTCCCTTTTAACTTGTCTACTCGTGTCTACATTCTTATATGGCCTATATTCCTATTGATATTTTCCTTTACAGTATGACCCTGTAATAGTTCTACAATAAATTTTATGTCTTCTTCTGGCATATACATTGTAAATATTTCAACCCACGTTGGTACTTTTTCTAATAACACTGTGATTTTATTTTCCCATGGAGGAATTTAAAAATTTTATATATCAAGCACGCTAATCACTGTACTTGTCAAATGGGGCTCTGAGCACCTCAGTGCCTTGAGGAGGAAAATCTGGGAGAAGAAGAGGTGCACAGTGAGGAGGAGTTAGGGGAGGAGCAGCGTGACCTGTGGAAATCATCACTCAGGACGCCACTCCAGGCACCCACACTACTGGATGTTCCTATAAGTCGAGCTCTTTCTCGTTCCTCTTGTCTCTTTCTTTGAACAGAATGCCGAATTCCCCTGACTCTGGGTTTCCTCTGAGAATCTAAGCAGGTTTCTCATGTTTTACATGGCCTGGAAGCTGTGGCCACGAAGGATGCCTGCCCCTCAAGACAGCTGGACTTCACGTCCCCACTGGCAAGAGGTAGTAGAGGGCGCAAGGCAGCGGAACTCAGCTTTCTGGAAGCTACCTGGAGACCCTCCTCAAGGGAGGGGACACTCCGCAGTCATTGCTCCCATGCCCACCTCGTTAATGTGCAAAATACTCAGAGAGTAGATTTTTCTACTATTGTCATAAATGTAAAATGTCAGGTAACAAAATAGTATATAAGTGGGGAGGAGGTGTAATCTATTTACCAAACAGTCAACATACGTGAAAAAGTACTTTAAATACGTGCTACATTGGCTGAAGAAAATTAGAATTTTTTCAGAATTGAGTTTTAGGGAAAAACATTTTATACAAGAACAAACTCACTGTAGTCTTATTTAAAATAATAAAATTCCTGGATATCTGAGATACAACTATTGGACTCTACTCATCTGAAGCAAAGAAAAAGAAGGAAACCAAAGACTCAAAGAAACTAGTCTACAGAACTAGTAGTCTACATGAACCACAGCCTCATCTACCTTAAGGTCAGAAGAACTAGATGGTGTCTGGCTACCACTACTGACTTTTCTCCTCAGAGCCACAGGAGATGGACCCTGACAGAATGGGAGAAAAATGTGGAACACAACCTAAAATTCCTAAAAAAAAGACACGCACACAGACTTACTGGACAGTTTGAGACTAGAGGACTCCCTGAGACTACTGCCCTACGATACTCTTTAAACCTTGAAACAAAAGTAGCCCTTGAGGTCACCTTTTAGCTAAATAACAGATTGGCTTTCACAGGTAATAAAAGAATATGACCCATGAGTACTATGCTTCTTTAAAAAAGAGCATCTATATGAGGCCAAACGATCAATAATTACTTTAAAATAGATGAAACTGTAAGGGGACAGGAAATCCAGATCCATGGAAACAGAGCAACCAGAACAGAAATACTAAGAATGTTCATGCACGGTGAAAAATGTAACCAATTCCACTGAACAATCTGTGCAGAAATTGGTGAATGAGAACCTAAACTGCTGTGTGACCCTTCCCTGAAAACCCAATAAAATATTATCTTCAAACAATAAATTTCCTAAGCCACTTAAACATCAAAGAGTAGGAAGTAGTGAAAAAATACAACGGTACAACAATTCAACTGGAAAATGATGTAACCACAAAAAAAACGATTGTTTCACAATAATAAGTGAAAAATGGACAATTTAAAATTAGATTTATATAATGAATACAAATAATTTATAAAAGTACACATGGAAAAGAATATGAGAAAATACAAACAGCTAATCAGTAAAGGAGTAGCAAAGTGTGAGAACTGCTCGTTCCTATTCCTTCTTTTGCCCTGATTTTTGAGGGGAAAAAAAAAAAAGACAGAATAACAGAAAAACTAAAAAGAAAGCCAAGGTAAGCCAAAAACATAGAAAGCAACCTGGCAAACAACAGGTCCGCAAATGTCCATTGTTCTGCTTGCGGCTTTAGAAGAGAAAACCGAGTGTACAGTCTGAGTAGTTAGAAGGTATTTTAAGAGAGAAAGGTAAGCCGCACTCACCATGAACCTGCTCATTTTTCGTCCTACTTCTGGTGATGTACAGAGTCCTGAGATACACAGAGTCCTCGGAACGCCAAACTATGGAAGGAAAAGGAAGACATAAAAAGGTGGCCAGGGATGTCACTCACCTTCATGGACTCTTACTGTTTATTAGCCAAGAGGCCCCTTAATCTGGGTGACTGCAGATGCACACGGCCTGATGTGCAGAACATGACCTGGACACCAGATGCCCTTGACCCCTTTCAGTCTGGGGTCAGTGAACACTCTGCACAACTACACACAGTGGCCCCCTCACCACTTGCCTTGCAAACCCCAAGACAGCAACTGTGATTCTGGTAAGAGAGAATTTGAAACAATATACTGAATAAGAGTCAGCTCTGGGGTCAATATATATATGTGGGTTCAAATCCTGGTACGACTTCTCACTAGCTGTGTCATCCTGGGCAAATTAATAAGATCTCTTTGCCTCAATTGCATCATCTGTAAAACACGAAGTAAAAGAGTCCACAATGACGGGATTGTTGCGAGGTGGAAAACTCTTAGAATTCTGTATCAGGGTTCTTATTATTTGGCAGCTACAGAACAGCACATGATATTCTCTAGTAGGCAATTACCTTTATAAATTTAATCTCTACCAAAGGAACATGGGCAGATACATGGACTTCTGATGTGACTGCTGCCAACTGAAGGTCCTACGTATCCTCTGAAAATTCTGTTAAATGGGCTTGACTATGTTCCCTAATAAATTGTTGCCTTAACAATAATATTTAAACTGGCATAAACAATTATTTTCTAAAGGGTGTGAAAACAAGTGCATTTCTGTCACTAACCAGAAAGGCCCTAACAAGGCCTTTTTATCAACATAAAAAGGTGCAGTACAAATGCTGGCAAATCTTATAGTATCCCTGAATGTTTTCAACTAAGGTCATGCATTTCCTTGATAAAACTAATTAAAACACGGAGGAATAAAACAGATCAATATGCATGGAGAAAAAGAAAACACATTACAGTCACGTGTCACTTAACATCCATGATACGTTCTGTGAAATAGGACGTTATGTGATTTGGACATTGTGCGAACACCATGTTATATACTTAGCAAAGCTATGCGAGATACTGTCGTGTACCTGTAATGACTAAATAGTCAAGACACTGTACTGTCCTTCAGCTAACATCAGCACTCACAGACTCACCACTCACTTTCACATGGTACAGTGAAAAACATTGTTTGAAGAGCTGGAACCACCCAGAGTTAGCATTAAACTCGCTACCATAACCTGGTCCTGCTTTTCCCTTAAGCATCTCAAACGAGCTTCGTGCCTAAGCAGTGATCATCAACGTGCTGAGAAAAATTCGCTTTTGTGTCTGGTACTCAAGCCGCATCGTTAGCAATTTCTCCATATCTGATATAGGTCCCTCTCGCATTTTCATTAGCCTTGTAGCTTTCAGTGGAGTTGATGCTTTAACAGCTCGGAGAATTTTTTCTTTGTTTTTGAGGATTGTCGTGAATGTTGAGCGTTACATGCCTCAATCTTGAGCAACAGCATTCACTGATTTTCCACCCTCGTGTTGTTTAATAACCTTGTTTCACCTCCAAATCGATACTTCTGCTTTGCCTCTTGCTGCTATCACTAGCACTGGTTTTGCTGCATTTGGGCCATGATGCACTTCACAGTAATATTTTCAAAAGAAGATCAGCGAGCTAACTCTACAACGTTCAAAAGACACGTGATGTATGAGACTGGGTGCTGCTGCCTACAAGTCTAAACATGAACTGTTATACAGTAAACTTTTTATTTGTAACTAGGAAAAAAAAAACCAAACCTGTTGCCACTGAGTCAATTCCGACTCATAGTGACCCTACAGGACAGAGAACTGGCCCACAGAGTTTCCAAGGAGCGCCTGGTGGATTCAAACTGCCGACCCTTTGGTTAGCGGCTGAACTCTTAACCACTACGCCACCAGGGTTTCCGAAAGTTCACATTACAATAATGATACGAAGTAAAGTACATACATAAGCCAGCGACATAGCCATTTATTATGACTATCAAGACATATGTTTTATAGGTTATATATTATCTAGTTACTATACCATTATACACCTGGCAGTGCAATCACTTTGTATACAAGATACATGAGATACACGTGTTGTGTGCAGGAAGCTGTTGCATTGGCTACATCTGGTTACGTCCGCTATGTCCATTCTCCTATTGGGATTTCTAAACTTTATTATAACCTTATGGGACCATGGACATATATGCGGTTGGATATTACCCGAACAGACATTACACAGCACATGACTGTAGTTTTTAGTTTTTATTAAAAAATACAGGATTCTGGAAAGTAATAGTTTGATGAAGCCACTGTGGAGAAGTATGACTGTTTTTCAAAAAGTTAAACATGAAACTAACACTGAACCTATCAATTCCCTACCTAGGTATCTACCCAGGAGAATGAAAACACATGTCCACTTAAAGACCTGTCCGTATAAAGACTTGTATGTGTATGCTGATAGCAGCACTAATCATACAAAAACCAGAACTCAGAAGAAGAGTGGGTTCTGAGTCCATATTGATATAACATTTATGTTGGAATGAATAAAGAGAAGTTAGTCTTTACAATAGAATGCGCAATAATAAATGTATCTCCCCAAAATTTATTCTCTACAAAAGGTAAAGTACTAACTTTTCAGTAGAGAATCTTGACAGCCTTCACTTAGTCACGTAAACAAAGTTGAGATCAGCAATACTGGGACAAACCCACCTCACTGGCCTCTTGACATGCTGCACGGGAAGGACTCCTCACCACTTCTGTGGTATCGCTGCCAATATTGTGTCATCCGAACTGAAACGTGAAAAATACCAGATAAACCCCAAATGAAGGCCTTTCTCTAAAATACTTGCTCGTACTTTTTAAAAACAACAAGAACAAAAAAGACAAAGACTGAAGAATCATTCTTGTGAAAGCAGAGTACAGAAACATGACAACTGAACGAGTAATGCATCAATCAGACCCTGAACTGAGGGGATAAGCTTTAGAGAAGACTTATTTTAGGAGAACAGAACAAATTTAAATATGGACTGCGCATTAGATAACAGTATGTTATCTGTTACCTACTATTATCTACGAGATAATAGTATTAACTACTTTTATCTAGCATAACGTTTAAAAGTATCTAGTATATTATGCGGAGCCCTGGTGGCACAGTGGTAAAGAGCTCCTCTGCTAAGCAAAAGGTCAGCATTTCGAACCCACCAGGCGCTCCTTGGAAACCATATGGGGAAGTTCTACTCTTTCCTATAAGGCCGCTATGAGTCGGAATCGACTTGACGGTAAGGGGTTTGGTTTTTTGGTTTATTGTATTATGTTATTACAAACTGGTGGTTTATCAGGAGAACACTTGCCTTCCACGTGGGAGACCCAGGTTTAACTTCCAGGAAATGCACCTCGTGCCCAGCAACCACCCTATGATGCTGAACAGGTTTCAGGGGACCTTCCAAGTTAAAAATGGCTAAATGGAAAGAACTGGTGACCTCCTTCTCAAATCTGCCAATAAAAACCCCATGGATCACAACGGAACATTGTCTGATCCACAAAGAACCAAGGGAATGGCACGGCACTGGGCAGTGTTTCATTCCATTGTGCAGGGGTCACCATGAGTTGGGGCCAACTCGAAAGCAGCTAACAATATATTACGCTAAAGCCCTATAACCAGCCTCTCTTAACTGCCTCTTACAAAGGCAGCCCATCATTCCCCGCTATGTGTGGGTTTCCTTGCTGCACAAGATAAAACCTGTCTTGGATTACAGGTATATTCCTGATAGTACTTGGCTGACGGTCATCGACAAAGTAAAGAAGCAAAATGTAAAGAGCTCATAAATCTGGGTACAGAGTATATGAGAGTTCCTCATACTCTTTTTGCAACATTCCCAAAGGTTTGAAATTATATAGAAATAAAACATTTTAAAAAATCAGGAAGTAGACTTAGTAATTACAATAGTAATGATAATAATAAGGATGACGATGATGATATATAGCAGTTCATTAGTGTCTTCTTTCTTGGAGGTGTTTGAAAATTTACATAGTTAAAAAAGATAAGGGAAAAACGTGATGGAAAAAGACTCATCTTTAAAATAGGGAAAAAGCAGTACCACTTCACAGAGCCACGGTGTGGAATCATGTAGTGTTAAAAATAATCAAAACTCAAAGAAATTAAACCTATTCTGTGCAGTTATTCCATGTGCATGTAGATAGACCATTTTGATTCCAGAAAGGGCAAATGGTTCAAAGTCTGTCCGTTACAATGAGGCTTAAAAGAGAAGAGAAGAAAGAAAAACAGAACATCCACCACTGGGCAATCTCAACATAACTGACTGATCCCTGGCCTCTCCCCTTTACTGAAATCAGATTATATCAGGTCACAAGGTGGTCTCAGGCCTTCATCCACCTTCAGCCATGCCTTTTGAAATTTAAACTTAGTAAGCCTGGCTTGCGAACAGCAAAGAAAAGATTAGCAACTCTGGGTAAAAGAAAAACCACCGGCAGAATAAAATTCGGTCAGGAAATTTCTTTACAATATTTGGTTTCATGAATGAGAAAACCTTAAAATCAAAGTAAGATGGCTCATCTTAATTTTTCTGTTTGACAGCACTAACCTGTATAAAACCCTTAGAACAGAACTTAGCAACTGAATCTTAACCCATGCTAGAGCGCATTTCACACACTCTACAACACACGTGAAAATCTCTGTGGAAGAACGCCAAGTCCTCCTCACCCGGGGCTCTCCTACCAGTAGCCAAGGAGCCACTGCCTCCACCTCCGTGCAGTCCTGTTGGAGGAGTGGGGGCTGGTGAAAGAAAGGAGGCTGTGAATTACAATGACCGCATCACTGTCCCCTATACACCACAGTTCGTTCTCCTCACTCTGAACAGCTGGAAGCAACCCCCTCCTTCCTAAGGGAATAGGTCAGAGGGAATCCAGGAAGATCCCACTTCCTGCCCACCTCAGAGACGAGGGCCAGAGCCACTGCAGCTGGAGCTCTGACTGCATCCCTGATTCAAAGTGTTACAATAATAATAATAATAAAGAAGAAATGAAAACATACAGGGTTCATTCCAGCAGTTAGTCAGTACGCACTCAGGAAGACCCCACTGTTTAGGAAAACCAGGAGGGCCCACTGTGGGGCAGTTGCAATTAGGTCCTTTTTTTTAAATTGTGGATAAAACATACACATAAAAACATTCGACAATACACAAACCCCCCACATTTACAATTCACTGCCACGGACTACAGTTTTTACAATGAGGTTTTTGAGAAAAGGAGGAAATACAACAGAAAATATCTTTGGCTAATCTTAACCTGATTGCTCGAACCACGCCCCCCGCTTTCTGAGATCAGCTGGCAGCAGGATACTAAGTGGTCTCAGGCCTGGCCAACCCACCATTCATTTGCACAATTCCTCAGGCATAGTCTGGAGGTTTTAAAATCATAAAGCACCTCAACTGCTGAGGAGACTTCAAAGGCCTAGAATTGTCCTCTCAGGAGACAAGGGCAAAGGCCAATTTACTTTTTGGTGAATTTAAATTCTTTGCACAAACTTTAAACGAAGTTTTGGTTAACCTATGTCTTACCACAGAGGGATCTGTGAAGGAAGACTTAATCACTGTGTCCACCTGGGCCTCAGGTTCCTAATTATTAACAGGGACCCCACAGGAGTGCCTCTCAGGAAATTAAATGCTTTAGTACTAACCACCAGAAGGTCGCCGTGAGTCGGAATCAACACGTCCTCGCCAACAGGTTTTTCATGGGTAACGACAAGATATTACCATTCATCGCGAGCCGGAAATTGTTTTAAGACTTTTATTTATAAAACCCAAAAACCAAACCCGTTGCTATCGAGTTGATTCCGACTGATATTGACCCTATAGGATAGAGAAGAACTACCCCATAGGGTTTCCAAGGAGCAGCTGGTGTATTTGAAATGCCAACTTTTTGGTTAGCAGCCAAATGTGTAACCATTGCGCCACCCGAGTACCTCATTTAATTCTCAAAACAACTCTATTATGAAAGAACCTGTTGTTTGACGATGAGTCGATTTCGACTCATAGCGACCCTACAGGGCAGAGTAGAACTCTGCCCATAGGTTTTCTAGGCTGTAGTCCTGACGACGGCAGATAGATCAGCAGTCTTTTCTCCCAACGAGCGGCTGGTGGTTTTGAAATGCCTCCCTTTTGGTTAGCAGCTGTCTCAGGAATAGAAAACTTTCAGTGCGGTCAATGAGACACTGGCATAATATGCTGACCATGTTATCTAATTTTAATCTAGATTTCTAGACTAACAGCTATGTTTTTTGAGAAACACATGTTTCTCCTCGGTGGTCAAAACCAGGATGTGAAACCAGATGCCCCAAGGGGTCTTAACCAAGTGAGTATCTAAAAAAAAAAAAAAACCCATTGCCGTCCAGTCGATTCTCACTCATAGTGACTATCCATTCCCCTCAAAACAAACGTACTCAGGGAGAGTGCTGTCTGGGTGCTGTTGGCAATTAAGATATTTTTGCAAGACGGACAAAAGAAAATACATGCAAGCATCTTGTGAAACTCTCTGTAATCAGTAACTATAGTATTAATAATCAGTAACCAATCAGAGTGTAATTATTACAATATTCACTGATTTTCCCGGAACTGCCTTCCCTATAGTTTGGTTCCTCTTTTCACCCCCTAAGAATACCTGTATAACGAAACTGCCCCGGGACTACCTGGTTCCATTTTCAATTGGCTATGAAGTTCCCCAATTGCAATTGTTTTAAATCCTTAATAAACTTCACTGTTTTAACCTGAAACAGCGTTCAAGGTTTTCTCTACACAGCCGGGCGTTTAACATTGCGCCACCAAGGCCGCTTCACGAAAACACTAATCACTTTCACGAAATCACCTTTTTACAATTAACGCACCAGGAGACACAGAGAGATGAAGTAACTCGCCCAATGCTGTACCGAGAAGAACTGGCAGCGCGCGTGCAAGGTAGAGGAAAGCAGATTTGGGAGCTGAGAGCCCAGGGGACCCTCAAATAAGGCAAGCCACGACCCAAGCCCGTCCCCAACCCAGCGACGCGCGAATTGCCCCAAATGGAAAAGTCTCCGCGAACAGAACGCAAACCACCGCCCTCTCTTTCCAAACCTCCGTTTGCGCTGCGACTTCTTTCCACTAACTCGATGTCCTGGTCGTTACAGGTCCAAAACACAGGTCCAGAAAGTTAGTAAAGGTCTCCGAAACGCAGGACGACTACCCACCACGAGGAAAAACATGGCAGGAACCTCAAGCCCCTGGAGTGGAAGTGCCTCTAAATGCCTAAAGATTCTGGACTACATTTCCCAGAATTCCGCACACCTTCCTGCATGCGCGGAAGTGGCCGGGAATAATGGCGAATGCCCGTTTTAGGGAATCAGCACAAGACGGAGAGGAGGGCAAACTAAAAAGGTAACGGTTGGAATCCACCAGCCAGCCCTTGGAATCTCTATGGGGCAGTTGTACTCTGTCCCGTAGGGTGGCTATGAGTCGGAATCGACTCCACGGCACCTAACAATAACAATGGTTAGTATAAGAAGCCCTGGGGGTGCAGTGGTAAAGCGCTCAGATGCTAATAAGATTAGCGGTTTAAACCCACCCATCCCTTCCGCTCTGACCAGAAAAAACTGCAGTCCTCTCTCATTAAGGTCACAGCCTAGGAAACCCTATGGTGCAGTTCTACTCTGTCACAGGGGTTCGCTAAGAGTGGAAAATCGCCTGGATGGCACACAACAATGGTTAATGTACTTTGACAGTATGAGGCTAGAATTTAAAGAATGGGCGAGGTAGAATGGTTTGGGAGGGGCATTCAGCACCAAGAAGATACCAACTCCCTTTGATACCACTAGTTTCGCAGAAAAAACCACCGTTTGAGAGGGCCAAAGGGAAAGCAGTGGCCTCATAAAACAGCCATTTTCCCAACTTTGGTGGCGAAAACACCAAATTTCAGAGAAATTAATACATTATCCAGCATCTCCAAAGAAGCTTACCTGCTGAAGAGGTTGGCATTAGGGTCATTCTTGAGCCCAAAAGCCTATGATTTAATGCAAGGACACTCAAGAGAATTCTGCAGGTGAGAGATGGCTTTAGTGCTAATATTCTTTTTTTTTTTTTAACCATTTTTTTTGGCTAAAATATCTGCATTGTATTTAGTAATTATAATACTGATGTATAAGTTGAAACGATTTAAAAGTACTATAAAGCAAGACAAGAAAAATTCCACCTTCAATATGACTTGAAGTTAACCAGATGCTTTTTCTCTCCAAAAATACCCATCTTCAATCTACATATTTCTTTTTCACAAATGAAGTCATACAAAATCTCATGTTGTGTGTCTGTTTCTCTAAATTCAGTATAATTTAGGTATTTTCCAGTGTCAGTCACTAAAAATCCAATTTCTCCCAGTCGGTGGGTGCATGGTGATGCATTGAACAGAATGAGAAAAAAATAATAAAAAAAAAAGAAAAGCCTCTGACATCCAAAAGCTGGCCTGGCATTCACAGCTAGGTCATATGATTATAGGACGTAAGTAATCTCACAGCATACCAACTCCAGACAAGGTTTCTGTGAGACCATTCTAAAGGGAGACAAAACAAGGCCATTTCATTATGTGTTGTTTAAGCAGACTAAAATAAGGTCAGTGTGCGTTCACAAAATACCAAACAGTCCCTTCTCTTAACTAAATGAGTGGCTGCTACTTCTCTACCAATTACAGCTTTATCTTTAGTCTGTCCTCCCTCTAGGTAACAATGATTGAGATACTCGGACTTAAAATTCCTCCTGCTTTCTGAATGCATCCAATCTAGGCAGAAACCCAGCTTCCTTAGACATTCCCCCAAACCACTGGGGAGGGTGGGGGGAACCCAAATTCCATAATCCTAACAATGTCTCAACTTGTAACACTTTCATGGTTCCTCACTGTGTGTGTACTCCCTTGCTGTAACGTGTTAAACCCAACTTCTTCGAATACACGTGTTCCTGGGTGAACAAAAAAATTGTTGGCATGCTTCCTGATGAGTAGTAGGTTTGCTATTCTGAATGAAGATGTAACAAACACTGTCCTGTGGTTATCTGGGACAGACACTGTTGGCTGTTAAACCAACTGCCAGTCAGAAATCCCTTCTTTCTTACTCTTCTTCACCACATAGAAGAGCTAAATTGCACGCTTCCACCTTCCTTGCGGCCAGGGGTGTCCATGGATAGAACTGGCTTGTGAGATATAAAGGAGTTTATCCACTGGGGGGTTTAAAGAAACTTATTTTCCTCCTCATAAAAAAGATATTCTTAAAGAGTAAAGCTTGATATTTAGTGTGGTATTCTTCAGTTTAATTTGTCATGTATTTCCTCATGATGAGATTTTACCTTATGTATTTTTAGCAGGAATTTAATGGGAATGATATAGTCCTTTTTACAGCATCACTTTTCAACCATTTCAGGAGGTAGCATGTGATCAAGAAATATCAGAAAGAGATTTACCTGTGTCTTATTGACTATGCAAAGGCATTCAATTGTGTGAATAACATTACAAAGAACGGAAATTCCAGAACACTGAAGTGTGCATGCTCGGCACCTGTAGGTAGACCAACAGTCAGTCAATCAAACAGAACAACCGGATACTCTGTGGTTTAAAGTCAGAAAAGGTGTGCATCAGGGTTGTATTCTTTCACCATACTTATTCAATCTGTATGCTGAAGAAATAAACTGAGAAACCGGACTATATGAAGAAGAGCATGGCATCATTTTGTAGGAAGACTCGTTAACGACCTGCGATATGCAGATGACATAACCTTGCTTCCTGAAAGTGAAGAGGACCTGAAGCACTTCCTGATGAAAATCAAAGATTACAGCCTTCAGTATGGATTACAACTCAACATAAAGAAAACAGAAATCCTCACAACTGGACCAATAAGCAACATCATGATAAACGGAGAAAAGACGGAAGCTGGCAAGGATTTCATTTTATTTGGATCCACAATCAATGCCCATGGAAGCAGAAGTCAAGAAATCAAACGTCACATTGCGGTTGGACAAATCTGCTGCAAAACACCTCTTTAAAGTGTTAAAATGCAAAGATGTCACCTTGAGGACTAAGGTACACCTACCCCAAGCCATGGTATTTTCAATCACCTCGTATGCATGTGAAAGCTGGACAGTGAATAAGGAAGATTGAAGAAAAATTGATGCCTTTGAATTATGGCGTTGGTGAAGAATATTGAATATACCATGGACTGACTGCCAGAAGAACGAGCAAATCTGTCTTGGAAGAAGTACATCCAGAATGCTTATTAGAAAACGATGATGTCAAGACTTTGTCTCATGTACTTTGGACATGTTATCAGGAGGAACCAGTCCCTGGAGAAGGACATCATGCTTGGTAGAGGTAGTGAAAAAAAGCAAGGCCCTCAACGAGATGGATTGACACACTGCCTGCAACCATGGGCTCAAACATAGCAATGATTGTGAGGATGGCGCAGGACCGGACAGTGTTTTTCTGTTGTACACAGGGTCACTATGAGTCGGAACCGACTGACAGCACCTAACAAGGCATCATTATCAGGATGTACTACACATCAGTTTTTTTCATTATTTGTGCTGTTAAATTTGAAGTTAAATGGATTCTCCAGTGTAAAGTCCCATTCAATGAATTTTGTGGGGAGATAGTTTCAGAGTATGTTAATATTATAGTCTTTATCAAATTTTATCTTGTTTGCCTTAACATTTATTGGTATTTCTGGCTTAAATCAATTATTACTTTTATGGATATAAAACTCATTTTCCAACTTATTCCATGTGACTTAGTTGCCATTTTATTCTAACAAAGGGCTTTTCACATCTCGTTTCTTTATACCAGTATGGACTTATGATTTAAGGGATTCATATGTACTATTATTTGCTTAATAATCAAATTGTTTCAAATCTGGCTAGTGAAATCCTGTTCAAGCAATCTTCTCTGTCATTCTGACTTGTGTTTCTCATGCTTTAAGCTCTTTGAATACTTACTCTCTCATACTATATGGTTCAGGCTCATTGTGTACTTAACCTGCCCCTAGCTAAGATCAGCCATTCCTTCTAGGAACCCTGGTTCCAACGACTGCAGAATGTAGTTAGCACTAAGAAGTAATCATTGCTACTGGGTTGTCATTTGATCCTCTTAGCTGTCAAAGCTACCAAATATATTTATACATACGTTTACCTATACACATACATACACTCACACATGTATCTTTAGCTCTACAGCTTTCATACTGATACACCCAAGTTCAATTCAGCATACTTTTTTGTTTGTAACTCCATCATCCAGCTTAGTTGTTCACTTGTTAAATCATAAAATATACATAAGTTTTAGAATTATTCATACCACTGTGAAAAACCGAGCTAACTAGAGTTCAACATTTTGTATTTGTTTTTAGACTGAGGATATACATGGGTAAGTCAAAAAGTATCACTACTAGGGTTCCAGTTCATACATGCACGGGTTTATTCCAAACAAAACGTGTTTACACGTCTCTGCAATTAGCGGATGACTGTAGGTAAGTTCTCTCGGTAAAACACTTGTTAGTCTCTTTAAGGTGCTTTCAAAATAAACGGTACTTTTTGTGCCAGGGGAAAAAGAAAACGAAGTCAGGGCTAGTATCAAATTTTTAACAAAACTCAAGTGGACATCTTCCCAAATTGTTAGAAGCTTTGCAACAAGTTTATGGGAATGCTGCCCCACATAAAAGTTTTTACAAGGATCAAACGTTTTAAGGAAGGTCGGGAAGAACTCAAGGAGCCAAGAGGGGAAAAGGAACTCAGGTCACGGCAACTGTTTTCAGATTCCAAAGGGGGTAATCTCGATAGATCTTCTCTAAGGACACTGGACAATCAAGGGGGCTTATTATGAAGAAGTTTTAAGAAAACTGAAAACTATACTGATGAGAAAAAGGCCAGGGCAGTTGTACAGAGGAATTTTTTTCCACCACCACAATGCACCTGATCATTCTTCAAAGATAGGAAAGGCTGTCCTACAAAAATTTTGTTGGGAAATCTTAACCCTGTCCACCCTACAGACCTTATCTTGACCCTTCAGACTTTTTTGTTCCCCAAACTCAACGTTTAAAAGGAATTTAAGTCCCTTGAGGATGCCAAAAGTGCCGTTTTGACATGGTGTTAATCAAAGACCACAGAATTTCGAGGGTTAGAGATGGAAACCCCACCTTCAGAAGTGTATAGACCTAGATGGAGGATATATCGAGAAACAGCTTCACATTTTTTTTTTATTGTACTTTAGGTGAAGGTTTACAGAACAAATAGTTTCTCATTCAGCAGTCAGTACACATATTGTTTTATGGCAATGGTTAACAACCCCATGACATGTCAACACTCTCCTTTCTCGACCTTGGAGGACTTTTTTTTTTCTTTTGGTGAAAATATACATAGCCAAAGATACACCATTTCAAAAATCTCTACATGTACAGTTGTGCTGCTATTCTCACTTTAGATGGTTTACAGAATAGTTTTTTCATTAAACAGTACACATATTGCCCTATGACAATGGTTAACAACCCCACTACATGTCAACACTGTCCTTACTCAACCTTGGGTTCCCTATCACTGGCTTTCCTGTTCTCTTCTGCCTTCTGGTCCTTGTCCCTGGACTGCTATGCCTCATTAGTCCTGTTTTATGGGGCTGTCCAATCCCCAGCTGAACCTCGGGAGTGACTTCACCACTGAGCTAAAAGGGTGTCCGGGGGAAACATTTTGATATTTTTAATAAAAGGTTTCTATCATTCTGTAGCAATACTTTTTTGACTTACCCTTGTATAGTCAAAATATTGAGTTAAAAAATCCTTAAATTTGTTCTTCCTTCCCCCTTTAGGATAGCTATTCATTTGAAATACATATAGGTTAATTTGTTATTGTGATTTTACTACTTTATCCCCATTCTTGATTTTAGAGAAGTGCCACACTCTCCATCCCTTCCACTCCTTTCGCACTCCTGTAGCACTTCCTTCCTGTTTAACCTAACCACTGTACACAACCAATTTATTTTCCAGTTGATTCTCATAGTTCTTTTTTCAGAAGCTAGTAAGGTATATGTACATTTTCTTATTTGCCCTTTTTGCTTCTACAACAGTAGGTAACATGCTTTTTTTCACTTAATATAGCTTGAAAATCACTCCATATAAGTACATTCTCTCTACAACTGCATAAAACTCCATTGTGTGGTTTATGCAACAATGCACCAATCTACAGGCATTGAAGTTGTTTCCAATTATTTTAACATGACAGGAGGATGCTGCAATAACCTTGTATGCTTGCGTTTTCATCCTGTTGGAGATACATCTTAAAGATAAATTCACAAAATTAGGTTTGCAGAGTTAAATGTTATATATGTACCTTTAAAAAATATTTTCAATTTTCCTGCTATATTGGTTGTATCAATTTACATTCCAAGTGGCAATATGTGAGAGTAACATTTTGGCAAAATTTTCCAACATAATGAGATATTAAGCTTTTTACGTTTTCTTAACCTACTGGTAAGAAATGGTAACTCACCGTAGTTTTAATTTGTGAGTGACGTGGAACGTATTTTCAAGGGTCGTGATAATATCATCTGAAATATCTGTCCAAATTTGTTGCTTACTTTTCTATTGGCATTTGCTTTCCCCTCCTTAATTTCTACAGTTATATTTTAATATACATTAGTAGTATTAGCCCTTTATCTGTTATATGCAACAACTCTATGGCAACTTTTTTTTTTTCATCTTTTAAATAAGTTGCAATTTATTTTAGTTTTATAATTTAATTTAGTTTCTATTTTTTCTAGGAGGTCCAGCAAAAAAATTTCATGTAGTGTTTTTTTCTAAATGTTTTTATTTAGGTAAAACTCACATATAAAATTAACCACTGAAAGTCTACAATTCAGTGGCATTTACTACACCCACAACACTGATGAATCAACAACCTCTTAAATTCCAAACCATTTTCTTTTCCCCAAAAGAAAACCCTGCATCCATTACGCAGCCACATCCCATTTTCCTCTTCCTGTTTCCCCTGGTCAAACTTCTCTTATGGATTTACCAATTATGGATAGTGCATATAAATGTAATCATATATGACCATTTCTAGGTTTGGCTTAGCGTAACGTTTTATCCACGTCAGCATGTATTTCATTTCTCTTTATGGCTAAATATTACACTGTATGCATATGTCACATTTTGTTTATACACTGATCCACTGAAGGATATTTGGGTTGTTTTCACCTTTTACCTATTGTGAACCATGTGGTTATGAACATTCGATTACAAGTATTTATCTGTTTTAAAGTCTATGGGGTATACACCTAGGAGTTAATGACTGGGTCATATGGTAATACTATGTTTAAGTTTCTGAGGAACTATCATGGATTGAGAAAACGCTGGTGGTGCAGAGGTTACGAGCTATGGCTGCGAACCACAAGCCCAGCAGTCTGAATCCACCAGGCACTCCTTGGGAACTGTATGGGACAGTTCTCCTCTGTCCCATAGGGTCGATATGATCAGAATTGATTCGACAGCAAAGGCTTTTTTTAAATTTTAAATCATGGATTGAAGTATGCCCATAAAACGGGCTGCAATCTTAACCCCTATTCCTGTGGCTGTAACGTAATGGCCTTCCATAATGCCATCTAATGTAATGTAACTAATCAATCAGTTGAGGTCAAACCAATGCAGGGAGATCCTAAACCTAACCACTTCTAAGTTATATAAAGATAAGCAGAGACACAGACATACCCAGACACCAGGGAAGATAGGCACTAGCTCACGAAGATGGAGGTAGATTGATTTACAAGCCCAGGAACTCTAAGGATTACCTCCTACTAGAAGCTGAAATAGATAAAGAAGGACCTACCTCTAGAAACCACACTCTGAATTTAACTTCTGTCTGAACTGTGAAAAAATACATTTCTGTCCTTTAAAGCCACCAATTTGTGGAATTTGTGTAACATCAGTACTAAGAAATTAAGATGGGAACTGAAAAACTATATTCCATGGCAGCTGCACCATTTTACATTCCCACCTACAATGGATAAAGGTTACAATTTCTCCACATCGTCAATAATCCTTATTATTTTTCATTGTGATTTTTTATAATACCATCCTAGTGGGTATAAACTGATTTCTCATTGTGGTTTTGATTTACATTTCCCTAATGACCTGTAAGGCTGAGCTTCTTTTCAACTGCTTCCTTGTCATCTGCATATCTTCTTAGCAGAAAGAGACCTGAGGATTACAAGAATTCAGGTTTCACATACATTGTTAAAAACCTGTATTTTGTAGGAATTTTTCCTGTGAGGATTCTCAGATGTTTTTACCACTACTATTACTTACGGAAAAATTTATCACCAGCATGGATTTTGTGATTTATATGATTTGATCTCCAAGTGAAGCTGCTACCACAGATCTCACACTACTAAGGTTTCTCCCCAGTGTGAACTCTCTAGTGAGATTATAGTTGTGAAGATTAACTGAAGATTTTACCACACACGTTTGTACAGTTTCTCGCCAGTGTGTACAAGCTCATGATGCTGAAGACTTGAGGCGTGACTGAAGTACTTACCACACTCCTCACACTTATATGGTTTCGCTCCTGTGTGGACCCTCCGATGAGTGTTAAGATTCTCACTCCATTTGAAGCCCTTCCCACACTCTTCACATTTGTATGGCTTTTCTTCATTATGGACTCTTTGATGGGCTTGAAGGTGTGAATTCTGACAGAAGCTTTTTCCACACTCTTCACATTTGAAGGGTTTTTCTCCACTGTGGACTCTCTGATGGGTCAAAAGATGTGCAGCTTGCCTGAAACCCTTCCCACACTCCTCACAACTATAGGATTTCTCTCCTGTGTGGATTCTACCGTGAGTTTGAAGATTTGTTCTACTACTGAAGTACTTCCCACATTCTTCACATTTGAATGGTTTTTCTCCACTGTGTACTCTCTGATGGGTCAAAAGATTTGCAGCATGCCTGAAGCCCTTCCCACACTCCTCACAATTATACGATTTTTCTCCTGTGTGGATTCTAAGATGAGTTTTTAGATTTGATCTACTACTGAAGTACTTAGCACACTCTTCACATTTGAATGGTTTTTCTCCACTGTGGACTCTCTGATGGGTCAAAAGATGTGCAGCCTGCCTGAAGCCCTTCCCACACTCCACACAATTGTAGGATTTCTCTCCTTTATGGATTCTACAATGAACGTGAAGATTTTGTCTAGTACTAAAGTACTTCCCACACTCTTCACATTTGAATGGTTTTTCTCCACTGTGAACTCTCTGATGGGTCAAAAGATGTGCAGCCTGCCTGAAACCCTTCCCACATTCTTCACATTTGTATGGTTTAACACCAGTATGGATCAGCTGATGAACTTGAAGTCTTGAACTCCAGTGGAAACTTTGCCCACATTCCTCACACTTAAAAGGTTTCTCAACACTGTGGACCTTATGATGGACTTTAAGATACGAACTCCGACTGAAACCCTTACCACACATACCACATTTGTATGGTTTTTCTCCCATGTGGACTCCCTGATGGGAATGCAAATCTGAATTGTAAATGAAGTCTATTCCATACAGGTTAAATATATATGGATTTTCTGCAATGTGAACTCTTTGATGGTCCTGAAATTGCAAAGGATGAATGAAGGTCTTACCACCTTCCTCACACTTATAAGGTTTTTCTCCTCTGTGAACCCTCTGATGGTTATAAAGATATGCATTACAGGCAAAGCTTTTCCCACACTCTTCACATTTGTAAGGTTTCCCTCTCATATGGGCCATGCAATGAGTATTAAATGTTGCTCTACAACGAAAGTTCTTACCACATGTATCACATCTGAATGTTTTCTCTCCAGTGTGGATTCTCTGATGTTCCTGAAAATGCAAAAGATAAATAAAAGCCTTCCCACATTCTTTACATTTATAAGATTTCACTCCCTTGTGGCCTTTGCAATGAACAGTAAGTGCTGCTCTATGCCTGAAGCATTTCCCACATTCCTCACATTTGTGCAGTTTCGCCATAGCGTGGACATTCAGAGGACTTCGCGGATGTGAGCTCTGACTAAATTCCTTACCACACTCATCATGCTTATAGCAGTTCTTTCCCATGTGAGCTCTCTGATGATTACGAAGACGTGAGATATAACGGAAGCTTTTTCCACACTCACAACATGTGAGAGACTTCTCTTCTGAGTGTAATCGCTGATGAAGATCAAAGCTGGAGACATCACTGAAGGTTTCTGTACATTCGTTACACTGGTGAGGTGTCTCTCCTGTGTGAATATTAAATAGTCCACCTGGAACTGAAGAGGGTGAATCACCTTGTTTGTAGAACTGAGACTTATTTATCATGGAATCTTGCCACCTGGTTAAGTCACTTGCAATTTGTTGCCAGATATGCAAGCTGGAAAGGTCCTCCTGTGCTCCTGCTTGTGGAACAGTCTCCACCTGCCTTGGGTTCTTGCCTCCTGTAAGGACAGAGAATTCAGAGATATAAACAGATAAAATATTTGTTGAGAATTTTTCAAGATTTCTCATTTAGTCACGGAATGAGACATTACCGAACCCAGAGAAGGTTCAGTTGATCTCTTCCACTGTATATCATGTTCTCCCATTTACACACCATCAAAAACAAGAATAGATGCACTGGGCTCCAACCCACTAAGCATTAACAAGACCTATTAGACAACACCAAACGAACTATGTGAGGTGCAACTTAGCAATCAAACCCTTAAAAAATTGGTAATATTATACAAATTATTAAATTTCAATTCACGTAGAATCTTGGATACTAAATTTTGTAGTCAGAAAAATCATGCTGAAAATAAAAAGGAATCAATAAACTGTATGTTTCATTGTGTATTATTTTCACTACAATTTTTAAAATGAATACATAAAAAGTTAAGGAAAGCAATGACACTATCCAAAGTGTGTAAACTTTCAGATTATTTTCTCAGTAAACATCTCAACAGAGGAGCTCTGGTGCCACAATGGTTAAGAGCTCAGCTGCTAATCAAAAGGTAGGAGGCCTGAATCCACTATTTGCTCTGCGGGAGAAAGATGTGGCAGTCTGCTTCTATAAAGATGTATAGCTTTGGAAACCCTATAGAGCAGTTCTGCTCTGTCACACTGAGTTGCTATGAGTCGGACTACTTGACGGCAATGGGGTTTTGAAGGAAATTTTTACAGAGTAGAATGTCTTTCTTCTCCCTGTAGGAATAGTCAATTAAAAGCTGCCTCGTTTGTTTCAGCAGGTGTTTAATCAGTTTGTGTAGAACTCTGTCTTGGGTTATTTTATTTGGAAGTTACTTCAATGCCTAAAGAACTGAGAGTCCTTGGAATGGTTGTCATGACATGCAGATTTGGAAGAAAACCACACTATTGCTTAATGAATAAAACAAGGCATAAGTGCAAAGAGTGTTCCTTTAGCTCCTGCTGAGAAGATCCCTCCATGAGGACAAAGGCGAAAAAAAGTTGAAGCGATGACATACACTATTCTGAAATCTCACGGTAATTCAGACCTTCATAATTTCCAGGGGAAAAAAATGATCCAGTGCAAGCTCATCTTTGACAACAGAGACAGAGGTGCTAGAGAAGAAAAAGAACAGGATACAGTGCCACTTTCTGAAAGCCAATACTACAAAGAGACTTGCATTCTGCCTGGAACTCTACCCAGATAAACTACTGCCATGGATAGTTCCTTACTTCTTTGAGGTCTCTGCTCAACTGTCAGACCATCAATGAGTCAACGTAAAATAATAATCCCTGTTCATGGCGAATTCACCTCTGGCAATTTCCACATCCCCCTTGACTTTGTATTCTACGCAGTACTTATTACCATACAACGTACTGTCTAGGTTATTTTTGTTAATTGTATGTCTGACTACAATGCAGTATCAATAAGGATAAGTATTTACACTATTTCCTGCTTTATAACCATGTCCAGAAAAGTGCATGGCAGATAGTGGGTGTTCAACAAGTGCGTCCTGAATGAATGAATAGATCCCCGTCTGACATTTCTGTGAATATTTAAGTCAAGTCACAGAAACAAAAAGGTGTATCCAAGTAAGCGTTGTACAACAGGAAAGGATAAGGAAGCTGCACTTTTGCTGGCAAACTGAAAGGCTATACCAGAGACAGCAGTCCACCATGAGCGATGCTGCTGAAGAGAAAATCCAAGGTAAAAAATCACTTCAGTGAAAAACAAGTGCAAGGGGCTATATACATGTTCCTTTTGAGTCCTTTGGGATCTCTTTGAAAACAGGATATTGAAAATCTGTGGATATAGATAACTGAACACTCCTAACAGTTTTTCAAATTGAAGACTACAGCCCATTAGTAAGCTGTAAAATAAATTTTAAAATCTGTAATTAGCATAAAAAAAACAGAAAAGAAAATATCAGAGCATAATCACAAGCCAACAAAGTCATTACAGAAAATGCTTACTGAAATCATATGTAAATCTACACAAACATGAACTATTTCCACTGGTTACAATAAAACATGCCTTTCTGACCATGGCTTATGCTTGAAAATGTTGGAACAGTTTAGATCAAGAAGTTATCAAGCCCTTCATTAAGCAAAATATTTTAATGGAAAGTTGAAATGATCAGAAATATAGGCAACACTGAGCTGTGTGACTCATATTTCTCTCATATTAAATCGGCACCCCCCAGCACAGTGAAGGGGAAACCCAGGGGTAGTGATGTGGATGTGGACTTTGGAAGAGCAAATAGGCCATGGCTGTTAAATATTTCAAGGGAAATTAAGCTCTCCTAGTTACTGTCTAAGATCTCAGGAAAGAGATTTTTTTTCCTTCCTGGAGGGCCTGTCTCAGTAGTAGACATTAGAATCCTCATATAAAAGTATAGTATTTCAATCCAGAAATGAATATGCCCACCTATGGAAGGCTCCAGGAAAGCCAAAGGGAAAGCATTTTACTCACCACAGTCACAACCACAATGCTGAAGTGTTTTCCTAGGATGTGGGTCAACTGTCCATGCGTGTGCACACACACACTCACCACAAGGGCACCCAAGAGAGTAGAACTTGGGGAGGCATTCATCAGAAGACACAAAATGTTTTGCAACATTCTTCATTCACCCTGGTTTGTGCATCACCTGTTAGCTATCTCTAGGATTCAGGAAGACAGAGAGGTCCCTCTGTACATTAAGTCAATTCTTTACGTCAACAAATAAGTAGACACCTGTTATGTGCAAGGACAATTCTAGGCCCTGAGGACAGAACAATAAACAGCCAAAAATCTGTCATTCCTGTAGATAGCATACCAGTAGGAATGACAGGTGATAAGCAGATAAAAAGTAGATGTGACAAAATAAGAGAGGGCAAGGAGAGTAAAGGGAGGATGATATTTTAAATAGGGTGGAGTTATAAGGCTTCTCTCATGATGTTAAAATAGAAAAGACTGGAATGATATAAGGAAGAGGATCAGGAAGATTTTAGGTAAAACTATGCCAGGCAGAGAGAGAGCAAGTAAAAGGATCTGAGGCAGAGGTGTCCAGTAGGAAGAATAATGGACCCACAAGATTTCCAAATCCTAATTCCTAAAACTGAGAATATGTTAGGTTACATGGCAAATGGAAATTAATGTGGCAGATGGAATTTAAGTGGTAAATCAGCTAACTTTAAAATAGGAAGATTATCCTACAATATCTGGTGGGCTCGATGTATTCAAACAGGTCCTTAAAATTAGAAGAGCAAGGCAGGAGAGTCAGAGGAAAATGTGACCACAGAATAGTCAGTGATGCAATGTCACTGCTGGCTTTGCAACTGAAGGGCTAGGGCCACAAGCCAAAGAACTCGACAGCTTCTAGAAGCTCAAAACGGCAAGGAAATGCATCTTCCCTACATTCTCCAGAAAAGAAGCCAGCCCAGCTGACATCTGGATTTTAGCCCAGAGAGACCCATGTTGGACTTCCCGCCTACGCAAGGTGAGATAATTAATGTTGCTTTAGGCCACCAAGTTTCCACTAATAAGAAACTAACACAGTATCTATGGTACATCTGAGAAATAAGGACAATGTGGCAGGTACACGTTCAGCAAGAGGAAAAAGATAAGACAGTGAATTCAGAGAGGAAGTATGGCCTGAAGACGAGACCATGTAGGACTCTACGAACCACTCTATGAAACATAATAAGCACCAAGTGTTCTGAGTATAGGAGTCACTTAATTTGACTTACACTTCCCAGAGATCACTTCGATGGCTATGCGGCAAACAGAATTTAGGAGGGAAGGGTACAAGTGGAGCAATCAGTACAAAGGCTATTGCAGAAATCCAGGAGAGAGGTTTGGCAATTTTCCAGGATGATGGCAACGGAGGTGGCAGAAAGTTAAAAAAAAAAAAAAAGGACAATAATCTAGAAGGATTCCCAGTGGCTGGTTCTAATCTGAACTATCTTTTTGGGCTGCTGTCTTCATAATCAAAAGCCTTTTCTCCCCTTTCTAAGTGTCATATAGAAAACCTAGTGGTTCAGCAGTTAAAGTCAAGGCTGCTATCTGAAAGCTTGGCAGTTTGAACTCACCAGCCACAAGGCAGGAGAAAGATATGGTAGTCAGCTTCTGTAAAGACTACAGCCTTGGAAATTCTATGGGGCAGTACTACTGTGTCCTACAGAGTCACTAAGAATAAAAATCAACTCGATGGGAACAGATTTGGTTTTGGTTGCAAGTGCCATTTATCATGTATGGTTGGAGACCAGTGAACAGTAAAATAACCTTTTTAAAATGAATACACTACTGGTATAATTTACTAGAAATTTGCACTCCTACTTCATACTCATGAAGTAATCAGAAGCAGTGGTTTTCCAACATTTTTTCTAAGATGATGCATTTGAAGAAATGCCACTTATTTCAAGACTCACGTACACATAAATATGTATCACTAAAACAGAAGATGACCAAATCCTAAACCAACGTCTGCTTTCATTAAATCTCCTCCTACTGGCTCGCACATTACACATGCAATCGGCCAGAGTGTGTGTTGCAAAGTGCTCCTTCCTTCCTAATGAACGCTGTTATTTCTACTTGGTTTTATTTGGTAAAAGACTGCTTGCAGGAGACTCAGTTCCCCAAGCTCAGGTGACCATTCCAAGACCCTTCAAAACCTTGAAAATCTGAGGAGATAAAGATCCTCCAAAGAGGTTATTCTCACCCACTGACATCAGGTTCCTGAAGTTCTCAACCATCACATCTTGGTACAGCTTCTTTTGGGCAGGGTTCAGCAGCCCCAGCTCCTCCTCAGTGAAGACCACAGCCACGTCCTTGAATGTCACCGATTCCTACAACATCAAGCACAAGTATACCGTCTCAGAACTACTGTCCACGTGAAATGGTTGGAAGAATAGGCGGAAGTTGTTCCAGTTTTGGGGAACATGAGTCAATATGTCCAATTCCCAGCCCTTCTCCTTCTATCCTGCCAATCCCATACACAGATTTTCCTTAGCTTCACCCAGAGTGAAGCGATGAATGACAGCCCTTGTATTTCCACTTGGTGTCAACAGAATAAACCCTAGTACTCTAAATGTTGCATGCTGGGAAACACATGGTTTACTTTTTGATTCACACTGCCAACTACCTCACATGACATGGCCAATTTATTTTCAACAGAATTTCATAGCGCCCACCACCCTCCTACCACACAGACTGACTCGGGTAGCACTCTTCTTTAATGTTTGCAAAAGTAATAAAATTTTGGTATCCTGTCTTAGACAGGTATGTAGCATGTCCTCTCAACCCTCAAGTTACACACAACATCCAGGAATTCTAACATTTGATGCAATGAGTTGTATTCCAATGATCTGTCCCTTACTAGCCAGGTGACCTTGGATAACTTCCCCTACGTATCTTAATTTCCTCTTTGTTCAGTGGTTTGTGCAATACAAGTTTCTTTCAAGGATATACGAGGAAACACATATACATATATATTTACATACAGAAACATCAACATATCACTTGCAACACTATGTGAAACTAAATAAGTGCATAATAAACATTATCTATTACTATTAGAATTATTATTATTGTAAATGTTATGTATTTCAACCCAATTCATCGCTTCATAGTATTCCAGGTGTGAAAGAATTTGGTTGGCCTTTGTCCCTGGTTCCAGGCAGGTAGCCTCTAAACCCTTGGAATTTCCTCAGATATTATAGCCTTTTTGTTATTCCTGATGATACCCTGGGACCAAATCAGGTAGTTTATGCTAACAAGATGACACAGGATGAGGGGTGACCACACAAGAACTACCATCATGTGATCAAAGGTATGGAGCTTTGATGCCAGCCCAACTTCTAAGAAAGATGAGGTGGCTTGAATTTGTGTTCAGTCATGTTGCATTGAATTAATCAACCATGCCTATGTAATAAAATCCCAATAAACATTTTGGACACCAAACACAGGTGATCTTCCCTGGTTGACAATACTATTCGTATTGTTACACACTGATGTGCCAGGAGTGTGAAGTATCTTTGAGGACAAGGGAAGCTTCCTGACTGGGACACTTTCTGACCTTGCCCTATGCCTCTCTCCCCTTGGCTGGGTTTGATTTAGAGACTTTTTGCTATAATAGAACTGTTGCTGTAAGTCTAGTAACAGGTTTGGTTTTTTTGGTAAGGTATTTTAATGAATTATCAAACCGACAGAGCAGTGAGAAACCCAGTATTTGCAGTTACTTGGGCACAAGTGAGGGCGGTGCCGAGTTTACTGCGGGTTTCTGAAATAAGAGCAGTCTTGTGGAGGACTGTGGCCTTCACCTGTGAAGCGTTGCTTATTTCCAGGTAGCTGGTGTCAGATGTTGTTCACACCACAGAACTGATGGTGTAGATTTATCAGTTCTTAAAAATGCAGAATATCATTTCATGTAGGTCTTAATCTCCTGGCTGATCATTTAAGATAAAATTCAAATGAAAATTAAGATGGCAAAAAATAAGCACATTTAGGAATGTAATCATATAAAGGCAGATTTTCTTCCTTCTTGACTCATCCTTCAAGAGTACCTACCTATTCCTGACTCTACATAGATGACAAAGCAGGTTAAATTTTACATCCTTTTGGTAATCTAATGAGGAAAAACAATTCATTTTTATAATTCTCATTTATCCAATTATAAATGAATACCATCATATTTTCATATATTCAGTGGCATCTCTAGTTCTCCTCTTTAACTTGTCTATTCATGCTCTTTGTATTCACACTGATATTTTCCCTTATACTATGATCACGTAATAGTTCTACGATAAATTTTATGTCTATTCCTGGCATATATACTGTAAATACTTCTACCCCAAGATGTTATTTTTTACTGTAACACTGTCTAATGTATTTTTTCGCCGTGGAGAAATCTTAAAATTTTATATGACAACCAGGCTAATCGTAGCACTTGTCTGGATGGGGCTCTGAGTGCCTCAGTGCACTTGAGGAGGCAGACATCGTGAGAGAAGAGGTGCACGGTGAGGGGGAGAATTTGGGAAAAGAAGAGGTGCACAGTGAGGAGGAGCCAGGGGAGAAGCAGCATCACCTGTGGAAATCATCACTCAGGATGCCACCCCAGGCACCCACACTACTGGATGCAAGTCCCTATAAGGACAGCTCTTTCTTGTTCCTCTTGTCTCTCTCTTTCATCGAACAGAATGCCGAACTCCCCTGACCCTTGGTTTCCTGTGGGAACTTGAGCAGGTGAAGATACCAAGCACACCATCCCTGAGCTGCTCAGAGTAAATGTAGTGACAGAACTCCAAGCGTCTGACCAATCTTCTAGTATTACCAAGGAACATTTTAAACTAAGCTATGTATTACTTTGGGAAAATAAAATAAAACATGAAGAAAAAAAAAAGACCGGTAAATAAAACACATACAAGGAATGACTCCGGCATGGGAAAGAAGACTCCAGGTCTTCCTATGTGATAAGATCCGGTAATACTAATGTGAAGCAGCAGACAGACCCTGTTGCATTGTGCCATATCTGAATACTCTATCTACCAAACAACCGAAGTACCACATGAAAAAGTACTTTTGACAAATGGTACACTGGCTGAAGACAAGTAGAATTTTTTCAGAATTCAGTTTTAGGGAAAAATATTTTATGCAAGAGCAATCTCATTGTAGTCTTATTTAAAATAACAACACTCCTAGCCAATTAAGATACAACTACTGGTCTCTACTCATCCAAAGTAAAAGAGAAAGAGGGAAACCAAAGACTCAGAGAAGAAACTAGTCTACAGGACTAACAGTCTACACGAACCACAGCCTCATTCTACCTAGAGAACAGAAGAACTAGATGGTGACTGGCTACTACGATTAACCCTTCTGTCAGGGTCACAATAGGGGGACCCTGGAAAACAGGAGAAAAATGTGGGATACAACCTCAAATTCCTTAAAAAAGAAAAAATCTACAATGACTGGACAGGTTGAGACTGGAGGACTTCCTGAGACTATTGCCATGACATATTCTTTAAACCATGATCTGAAACTAGCCTCTGATGTCACCTTTACCTAAATATCAGATTGACTAACAAAAAGTAAAGAATATTACCCGTGAGTACTGTGTTCCTTTAAAAAGAAACATCTACATAAGACCAAACGATCAACAATTACTTTAAAACAAAGATCAGAATGTAAGGGGTCAGGGAATCGAGATTAATGGAAATGAAACAACCAGAACACAAATATTGAGAATGTTCACACATGGTGAAGAATGAAACCACTTTCACTGGTAAATTTGTGTAGAAATTGCTGAATATGAACCTGAATTGTTGTGTAACTCTACACTGAAAACACAATGAATTATATAAAAACAATAACATAATTCCTAAGCCACTTAAATGTCTAAGAGCAGAAATAGAAAGTAGTTAAAAATACAAAGGTGCAACAATTCAACTGGAAAATGATGTAACCACAAAAACCAAAAAAAATGTTGCTTCACAACAGTAAATGAAAAATGAACAATCTAAAAAAATGTAATGTATATAATGAATACAAATAATTTATAGAAGTACCTGTGGAAGACCAAAAGCTGGTTCTTTGAAAAGATCAACAAAATTGATAAACCATTGGCCAAACTGACGAAAGAAAAACAGGAGAAGAAACAAATAACCTGTATAAGAAATAAGATAGGTGATAATCACAACAGACCCAACTGAAATTAAAAGAATCATAACAGAATACTATGAAAAATTGTACTCCAACAAATTTGAAAACCTAGAGGAAATGGATAAATTCTAGAAACTCACTACCTACCTAAACTAACACAAACAGAGGTAGAACAACTATATAAACCTGTAACAAAAGAAGAGATTGAAAAGGTAATTAAAAAACTCCCAACAAAAAAAAGCCCTGGCCCCAGTGGCTTCACTGGAGAATTCTGCCAAACTTTCAGAGAAGCGATAACACCACTTCTACAAAAGGTATTTCAGAGCATAGAAAAAGATGGAATACTCCCAAACTCATTCTATGAAGCCAGCATAACCCTGATACCAAAGCCAGGTAAGACACCACAAAAAAAGAAAATTACAGACCAATATCCCTCATGAACACTGATGCAAAAATCCTCAACAAAATTCTAGCCAACAGAATACAGCAACGTATCAAAAAAATAATTCACCATGATCAAGTGGGATTTACACCAGGTATGCAGGGATGGTTCAAAATTGGAAAAACAATCAATGTAATTTATCACATAAACAAAATAAAAGACAAGAACTACATGATCTTATCAATCGATGCAGAAAAGGCATTTGACAAAGTCCAACACCCATTCATGAGAAAAACTCTCAACAAAACAGAAATAGAAGGGAAATTCCTCAATATAATTAAGGACATTTATACAAAGCAAACAGCCAACATCATCCTAAATGGAGAGACTTTGAAAGCATTCCCCTTGACAATGGGAACCAGACAAGGATGCCTTTATCACCACTCTTATTCAAGACAGTGCTGGAGTTCCTAGCCAGAGCACTTAGGCTAGAAAAAGAAATAAAGGGCATCCAAATTGATAGGGAAGAAGTCAGAGTATCTCTGATTGAAGATGATATGATCTTATACACAGAAAACTTTAAGAATCCACAAGAAAACTACTGGAACTAATAGAAGATTTCAGCAATATTTCAGGATACAAGATAAACATACAAAAATCAGCTGGATTCCTTTGCACCAACAAAGAGAACCTCAAAGAGGAAATCTTCTATCAGTACCATTTACAATAGCCCCCAAGAAGATAAAATACTTAGGAATAAATCTAACCAGAGATGTAAAAGACCGATACAATGAAAACTACAAGACACTACTGCATGAAACCAAAAGAGACCTGCCTAAGTGGAAAAACATACCTTGCTCATGAACAGGAAGACTCAACATTGTGAAAATGTCAATTCTACCCAAAGTGATCTACAGATACAGTGTAATCCCAATCCAAATTCTACCAGCATTTTTTACTGAGATGGAGAAACAAATCACCAACTTCATACGGAAAGGGAAGAAGCCCCGAATAAGTAAAGCATTACTCAAGAAGAAGAACAAAGTGGGAGGCCTCACATTACGTGATTTCAGAACCTATTATACCGCCATGGTAGTCGAAACAGGCTGTTACTGGCACAACAGATACACAGACCAATGGAACAAAAATTGAGAATCCAGACATAAATTCATCCACCTATGAGCAGCTGATATTTGACAAAGGCCCAAAGTCCATTAATTGGGGAAAAGACAGTCTCTTTAACAAATGGTGCTGGCATAAGTGGATACCCATATGCAAAAAACTGAAACACAACCCATACCTCACACCATGCACAAAAACTAACTCAAAATGGATCAAAGACTTAAATATAAAATCAAGAACGATAAAGATCATGGAAGAAAAAATAGGGACAACGCTAGGAGCCCTAATAAATGGCATCAACACAAGACGAACCATAAGTAACAATGCACCAGCACCAGAAGAGAGACTACATAACTGGGAGCTCCTAAAAATCACTTATGCTCAACAAAAGACTTCACCAAAAGAGTCAAAAGACAACCTACAGAATGGAAAAAAATTTTTGGCTATGATAAATCCGATCAGCAACTAATCTCTAAAATCTACAAGATACTGCAAAACGTCAACAACAAAAAGACAAAAAAACCAATTAAAAATTGGGCAAAGGATATAAACAGGCACTTCGCCAGAGAAGATATTCAGGCGGCTAACAGACACATTAAGAGATGCACACGATCATTAGCCATTAGAGAAATGCAGATCAAAATTACAATGAGATAACATCTCACCCCAACAAGGATAGCATTAATCCAAAAAACACAAAATAATAAATGCTGGAGAGGTTGTGGAGAGACTGGAACACTTATACACTGTTGGTGGGAATGTAAAATGGTACAACCACTTTGGAAATCGATTTGGCGCTTCCTTAAAAAGCTAGAAACAGAAGTACCATATGATCCAGCTATCCCGCTCCTTGGAATATATCCTAGAGAAATAAGAGCCGTCACGTGAATAGATACAGGCACACCCGTGTTCACTGCAGCACTGTTCACAGTAGCAAAAAGATGGAAACAACCTAGGTGCCCATCAACGGACAAATGGATAAACAAATTATGGTATATCCACACAATGGAATACTACGCAATGATAAAGAACGACGACGAAGCCGTGAAACTTAACGTGGAGGAAGCTGGAGGTCATTATGCTGAGTGAATTTAGTCAGTCACAGAAGAACAACTATTGTATAAGACCACTATTATAAGAACTCAAGAAAAGGTTTAAACACAGAAGAAAACATTCTTTGATGGTTACAAAGGTGGGGAGGGAGGGTGAGGGTTATTTACTAACTAGATAGTAGATTAAGAACTATCTTAGGTGAAGGAAAGGACAGCACCCACTACAGGGGAAGTCACCACAACTGGACTAAACCAAAGCTAAGAAGTTTCCTGAATACAATCAAATACTTTGAGAGACAAAGTAGCAGGGGTAGGGGGTCTGGGGACCATGCTTTCAGAAGACATCTAGGTCAACCGGCATAACAAAGCTTATTAAGAAAATGTTCTGCATCCTACTTTGGTGAGTGGCATCTGGCGTCTTAAATGCTTGCAAGTGGCCATCTAAGATTCATCAATTGGTCCCATCCACCTGGAGTAAAGGACAACAAAGAACACCAAAGAGACAAGGAAAGTATTAGCCTAAGAGACACAATGGGCCACATAAACCAGAGACTTCATCAGCCTGAGACTAGAAGAACTAGATGGTGCCTGGCTACCACCAATGACCGCCCTGACAGGAAACACAACAGAGTCCCTGATGGAGCAGTAGAAGGATGGGGTGCAGAACTCAAATTCTAGTAAGAAGACCAGACTTAACGGTCTGACTGAGACTGGAGGTGCCCCAGAAAGCATGGCCCCTGGACTCTCTATCAGCCCAGAACTAAAACAATTTCCGAGGCCAATTCTTCAGACAGGGATTGGACTGGACTGTGGGACATAAAGTGATACTCGTGAAGACTGTTCCTCTTAGTCAAGTAGATACAAGCGACCAAAGGGGCAACTTCTGTCCAGAGGTGAGATGGGAGGGCAGAGAGGGTTAGGAGCTGGTTGAATGGTCACGGGGAATCAGGGGTAGAAAGGAGGAGTGTGCTGTTGCAGAATGCGGTGAGCAATCAGGGTCTCGTAACAGTGTATGTATAAAAATCTTGTATGGGAGACTAACCTGAAATGTAAACTTCATTTAATTACAACAATTAAAAAAAAAAGGTTTAAACACAGAAGAAAACATTCTTTGATGGTTACAAGGGTGGGGAGGGAGTGTGAGGGTTATTTACTAACTAGATAGTAGGTAAGAACTACCTTAGGTGAAGGGAAGGACAGCACACACTACAGGGGAAGTCAGTACAACTGGACTAAACCAAAGCTAAGAAGTTCCTGACTACAATCAAACACTTTAAGGGACAGAACAGCAGGGGTAGGGGTTTGAGGACCATGCTTTCAGGGGACATCTAGGTCAACTGGCATAACAAAGTTCATTAAGAATACGTTCTGCATCCTACTTTGGTGAGTGGCGTCTGGGGTCTTAAAAGCTTGTAAGCAGCTGTCTAAGATGCATCAATTGGCCCCAATCACTTTAAGTAAAGGACAATGAAGAACACCAAAGACACAAGGAAAGTATTAGCCCAAGAAACAGAAAGGGCCACATAAACCAGAGACTTCATCATCCTGAGACTAGAAGAACTAGATGGTGCCTGGCTACCATCAATGACCACCCTGACAGGAAACACAACAGAGAGTCCCTGATGAGCGGGAGAAAGGTAGGGTACAGAACTGAAATTCCAGTAAGAAGACCAAACGTAATGGTCTGACTGAGAATGTAGGAACCCCGGAAAGCATTGTCCTGGCTTCTCTGTCCTCCCAGAACTAAAACAGTTTTTAAGGCCAACTCTTCAGACAGGGATTGGACTGGACTATGGGACATACAGTGATAATCGTGAGGATTGTGTCTCTTAGCAAGAGACTAAACGGGCAGCTTCTGTCCGGAGGTGAGATGGGATGGCAGAGAGGGTTAGGAGGTGGTTGAATGGACATGGGAAATTGGGTGGAAAGGAGGAGTGTGCTGTCACAGTATGGGGAGAGCAATTAGGGTCACATAATAATGTATGTATAAATTTTTATATGGGAAAAAAGGAAAAGAAGTACATGTGGAAAAGAATATGAGGAAATACAAACAGCTAATTAGTGAGTTAAGAGAGTAGTAAAGTGAGAGAACTGCTCATTCCTACTCCTTCTTTTACTCTTATTTTTAAGAAAATAAAAAAGATAAAATAATAGAAAAACAAATCCAAAGTCAGCAAACAACATAGAAAGCAAGCACCTGGCAAACAACAGGTCCACAAATGTCTGTTGTTCTCCTTGAGGGTTTACAAGAGAAAACCAAGTGTCCAATCTGAGTAGCGAGAAGGTATTTTAAGAGCGAAAAGGTTAAGTCCCACTCACCGTGAACGTGCTCATTTTTCTTCCTACTTCTGGTGATGTACAGAGTCCTCAGATACGCAGTCCTGGGAATGCCGAACTACGGAAGGAGAAGGAAGACATAAAAAGGTAGCCAGGGATGTCACTCACCTTCATGGATGCTTACTGTGAATTAACCAAGAGGCCCCTATGTCTGGGTGGCTGCAGCTGCACACGGCCTGATGTGCAGAGCATGATGTGGACACCAGATGCTCCTGACCCCTTTCAGTCTGGGTTCAGTGAACACTCTGCACAGCTACACACAGTGGCCCCATCACCAGTGTTGCCTTGTGGTCCTGTGAATCTGCTACAATAGCATTTCAGACAGTATACTAAATAAGAGTCAGCTCTGGGGTCAATCTATGTGGGTTCAAATCCTAGTACAGATTCTCACAAGCTGTGTCATCTTGAACAAATTGATAACAACTCTTTGCCTCAATTCTGCCGTCTGTAAAACAGAAGTGAGAGTCCCCACTGACAGGATTGTTGCAAGGTGGAAAACTCTTAGAACTCTTATCAGGCTTCTTATTTCTTTGCAGGTATAGAAAAACACATGATATTCTGTAGTATGCGATAGTCTTTACAAATTTAATTTCTACCAAAGGAACATAGTCAGATACGTGAACTTCTGATGTGACTGCTGGCAATTGAAGATCCCATGCATCCTCTGAAACCTGTGTTAAATGGGCTTTACTGTGTTCCCTAATATTGTTGCCTTAACAATAATATTTAAACTGCCACAGACAATTTTCTAAAAGGTGTGAAAATAAGTGAATTTCTGTCGATAAGCAGAAGGGTCCTAAAAAGACCTTTTTATCAGCATAAAAAGGTGGAACTGTAACATTGGCAAATCTTATAGTGTACCTAAATGTTTTCAACTAACGTTATGCATTTCTTTGATACAACTAAATGAAACATAGAGAAATAAAATAAACATGCTTGAAGTGAAAAAAAAAAAAAAGTCACTTTAGTTCTTATTGAAAAATACAATTCTGGAAAATAACTGTTTCCACTTTGGGAAAGTTTCGCAGTTTCTCAAGAAGTTAAACATGAAACTACCACTCAACCTACCAATTCCCTGCCTAGGTATCTAACCAGGAGAATGAAAACACATGTCTCCTTAAAGACTTGTCCGTATAAAGACTTGCATGTATATGCTGATAGCAGCATTAATCACAAAGGACCAAAACTGAAAAGAAGAGTGGGTTCTGTGTCCATAATGATATAAAATTTATATTTGAATATATTTGAATGAATAAATAGGGGAGAAGTTGGTCTTTACAGTAGAATGCCCATAAATAGATGTATCTCCCCAAAATTTATTATCTACAAACGGGCAAACAGTAACTTTTCAGTAGAGAATTTGGACAGACATCACCTAAGCCAAGTGAACAAAGCTGAGATCAGCAGTACTGGGACAAACCCACACCACTGGCCTCTTGACATGTTGCCCTGGAAGGACATCTCACTACTCCTGTGGTATCACTGCCAATACTGCGTCATCTGAACCGAAACATGAAAAATACCAGATAGTCCCCAAATAAGGGCCTTTCTCTAAAATACTTGCTCATACTTTTCAAAAACAAACAAAAAAGACAGACTTAAGAATCATCCTTGTGAAAGGAGAGTACAGAAACATGACAACCAAAGGTAATGCATGAATCAGACCCTGAACTGAGAGGAAAACCTTTATAGAAGACTTATTTTGGGACAAGAGAACAAATTTAAATATGGATTGTACATTAGATAACAGTATGTTATCTAATATGTTACCTACTATTATCTAAGAAGCCCTGGTGGCGCAGTGGTTAAGAGCTACGGCTGCTAACCAAAAGGTTAGCAGTTCGAATCCACCATCCGCTCCTTGGAAGCCCTATGGGGCAGTTCTACTCTGCCGTATAGGGTCACTATGAGTCGGAATCGACTCGACAGCAGTAGGTTTTACCATTATCCAAGCGATAACACTAATAAGTGCTTTTATCTAGTGTAACACTTAAAAGCATCTAGTATATTCTGCTATGACAAATCAGTGGCTTAATGGCAGAATTCTTGCCTTCTGAATGGGAAACCTGATTTAATTTCCAGGAAATGCACCTCATACACAGCTACCACCCTATGAGGCTGAACAGGTTTCAGGGGACCCTCCAGATTAAGACTGACTAAATGGAAAGTCCTGGTGATCTACTTCTGAAATTTTGCCAATGAAAACCCTGTGGATAACAACAGAACGCTGTCAAATCCACAATTAATCAAGAGAACGGCACAGGGCCGGGCACTGTTTCGTTCCGTGGTGCACAGGGTCACTGAGATGGGCCCAACTCTAAGGCAGCTAACAATAATATATTCCACTAAAACCCTAGAAGCAGCCCCTCTTAACTGCTTCTTACAAAGGCATCCTGTTATTTCCTGCTATGTGTAGGCTTCCGTGCTGCAGCAAGCTACAACAACCTGTCTTTGATAGCAGGTATATTCCTGATAGTACTTGGCTGACAGCCATCAAGAAAGCAAGTAAGCGAAATGTAAACAACCGGTGAATCTGGGTACAGAATATATGAGAGTTCCTTATACTCTTTTTGCAACTTTCCCAAAGGTTTGAAATTATATAAAAATAAAATATTAAATAATCAGGAAGTAGTCTTTGTAATTACAACATTAATGATAATAAGGATGATGATGAAGATGATGATGATGATACATAGCAGTTCATTAGTGTATTCTTTCTTGGAGGTGTTTGGAAATTTCCATAGTTATTAAAGATAAGGGGAAAAACTTTTAGGAAAGTATAATATCAATTTTGTTAAACACTTATGTATAAATGAATATACATGTATCCACAAAGAGCCACTATACAGTAACACCTCTCAAGCATTACTGTTGCTATAGTCGTATCCTGGAATCACAGGTATTAAAAAAATTTTTTTTCTCTGCTTATTTCTGAATTCGCCAATCCTCCAGGTTGTTCCACTTTGAAAAGGGCCTTAGACAGCCATGGCATACAGCCAGAATGGCATGATCCTGAAGCGCCACTTCGAGAAGGACAGCAGCAGATGGCCACAGGGTTCAATCAGCCAGTGCAGCAGATCCACAGACACAAGTCCCTGAAGTAAAATCCTGCAGCATAGCGCGACGCCCTCCATCCTGACCTATGCACCCATAGTGCAGTGCCACACAGTGCGGTATCACACCAAAGTCTAAGCTGAGTTCAGCCTGGAAGAGCTGAGGGAGGCCAGCATCCAAACCACTGGGATCTCTATGGATCCCCACAGGAGGATTAAGTCCGTGGAGTCCCTGCAGACCAACATGCAGCGGCAGGAGAACCGCTCCAAACTCAATCCTCTTCCCCTGAAGCCATCTGACCCCCAAGAAAGGAGACTCCTCTACTGAAGACCTCAAATTGGTCACTCAGCTGACAGGGCCAGAGGTGCCCATGAGGAATGTCTACAAGGAGAAATTCCGGGTCATGACGCAGGTAGATAAGGGCTTCACAGCGTTTGCCAGCCTCCGCATTGCCTATGCCAGTGCTCGGCAATTTGGGATCCACGCAATGAGGGCAGAGGAGGCCACAGAATAGGAGTTGAAGAAGAAAAAGAAAAGCTCTGTCAGGAACCTTTAATAAAAGAGCAGGAAAGCCTCTCAAAAAAAAAGAAAGAAAGAATACAAAACATTTTTTGGAATCAAATAAAATTAAATAGTTGAGAGTGATTTTTAAAAGATCGTAGAAAAATTCAAGCTCATCAGCCTTGCTTTGACGGTACAATCTATTCGATTCCAGCCAGGTCTCTGTGGCTCAGAGAGAATACAGCAGAGAGATAATGATCTCGGGCTCTGGTCTCAGGCAGCTGAGGGAGGTTCCAACCCCAGCTCCGCCTATACTAGTTGTGTGAGTACAAGTAAATGACTCATCTTTAAAGGGAAAAAAGCAGAACCACTTCACAGAGCCATAGTGTGGAATCATGTTGTGTTCAAAATAATCAATATTCAAAGAAACTGAAACAAGGTTTATTCTGAGCAATTATTCTGTACACACACAGAGAGACCATTTTGATTCCAGAAAAAGCAAATGGCTCAAAGTCAGTCAGTTACAAAGAGAAGAGGATGGAGAAAAACAGAACATCCACCACTGGGCAATCTCAACATAACTGACTGATCCCTGGCCTCTCCTCTTTACTGAAATCAAACTGTATCAGGTCACAAGGTGGTCTCAGGCCTTCCACTCACCTTCAGCCATGCCTTCTGAAAGTCACACTTAGTAAGCCTGACTTCTGCATAGGAAAGAAAAGATCAGTAACTCTGGGTAAAAGCCACCGGTCTGGAACGTTTTTACAGTGAATATTTGGTTTGGTGGATAAAAGAAACTTAGAATCAAAGTAAGATGTCCATTATATTTCTATTTAAGAGTACTAATTTATTTAAAACCCTTAGAATGAAACTTATCAACTAAATCTTAACCCATGCCAGAGTGCATGTCACACACTCTACAATACAAATGAAAATCTCTGTGGAAGAAGAACACCAAGTCCCCTCACCTGGGGCTCTCCTACCAGTAGCCAAGAAGTCACTGCCTCCACCTCCGTGCCGTCCTGTTGGAGACGTGGGGGCTGGTGAAAGAAAGGAGGCTGTGAATTACAACGACTGCATCACTGTCCCCTACACACCAGAGTTTATTCTCATTACTCCGACCAGCCGGAGCCCTGGTGGCATAGTGGTTAAGAGCTCTGCTGCTGACCAAAAGGTGAGCAGCAGTTCAAGTCCACCAGCCGCTCCTTGGAAACCCTACAGGGCAGTTCTGTTCTGTCTTGTAGGGTCACTAGGAGTCGAAATCGACTCATCGGCAACAGGTTTGGTTTTCTGACGGGCTTCAAGCAACCCCCTCCTTAGTAAGAAAAGAGGTCAAAAGGGATCCATGAAGATCTATCTTCCTGCCCTACTCAGATGCAAGGAGGGTCAGGGTCACTGCAGTTGGAGCTCTGACAGTATCCCTGATTCAAAGTGTTGAAAAAAAAAAAAAAAAATGAAGAAATGAAAACATACAGGGTTCATTCCAGCAGGTAAGTCAGTATGTATACAAGGAAGACCCCTGTTTAGGAAAAACAGGAGGGCCCAAACTGGGGCAGTTACAATTAAGCTCTTTTTTAAAATGGTGGTTAAAATACACAATAAAAGCATTCCACAACACACCAACCTCCACATTTACAATTCACTGTCATTGATGACAGTTTTTACAATGGGGTTTTTAAAGAGAGGAGGAAGAAATACAATAGAAAATACCTTCGGCTACTCTTAACCTGATTGTTTGAACCATGCTACCATCAACTCCCGTCAGAATACTAAGCGCTCTCTGTCCCGACCAACCCCCCATTCACTTGCACAATCCCTCAGGTACAGTCTGGAGGTTTTAAAACAAAAAAAAACACCTCAACTGTTCAGGAAATTTCAAAAACTTAGAATTGTCCCCTCAGGAAACAAGGGCAAAGGATAATTTATTTTTTGGTGAACTTAAATTCTTTGCACAAACTTCAAATGAGGTTTTGGTTAACATATGTCTTATCACACAGGGCTGTGAGAAGGAAGACTTAGTCACTGTGTTCACCCGAGCGTCGGTTTCCTACTTATTAACAGGGACCCATAGGGGCACTTCTCGGGAAACTAAACACTAGTACTAACAACGACGAAGTCGCCATGACTCGGAATCAACCAGACAGTACCATTCATGACGTGCCAGGAAGTGTTTTAAGACGCTTACTTATACTACCTCTTTTAATTCTCAAAACAATTATATTATGAAAATATTTGTTGTTTGCCGTCGAGTCGATTCCGACTCATAGTGACCCTACAGGACAGAGTAGAACTGCCCCATAGGGTTTTCTAGGCTGTAATCCTGAAGACAGCAGATAGATCACCAGGTCCTTTTTCCCTAGGAGCGGCCGGTGGATTTGAACTGCCAACCGTTCGGTTACCAGCCGAGCGTTTAACATTGCCACCAGGGCCCGCCCGTTCACGAAACTAACATCGCCTTTTTACAGAAGCGCACCGGGGAGACGAATTAACTCGCCCAATGCTGTACCGAGACGCAGCGGCAGCGCGTGTGCCAAGTGGAGAAAAGAGGATAGGGAAGCTGAAAGCCCAGAAGACCCTCAAATAAAGCGAAGCAAGACCCGAGCCCGTCCCAACCAGGGGACGCGCGAATCGCCCCAAACGGAAAAGTCTCCGCGAGGGGAATGCAAACAGTCGCCCTCGCCTTTTAAACCTCCGTTTGCGCCGCGACTTCTTTATACTAAATCGATGTCCTGGTCGTTGCAGGTCCCAAGCTCAGGTCCACAGAGTTTGGAAAAGTCTCGAGACGCAGCAGAAATAAACACCAGCCGGAAAACCACGACAGGAACCGCACGCTCCTAGAGCGGAAGTGTCCGTATCTGCACACAGTTTCTGGACTACATTTCCCAGAATTCCGCACAACTGCGTGTCAGAGCGGAAGTGCCCGGTTTCGAGAGAAATGCCAGTTTTAGAGGCTCAGTAGGAGTTCTACTCTGTCGTATGGACTCTACGGCACCAGGTTTAGTTTGGTTTTGGTTTTAAATGGCTGAAAGGAGGAGGGAAATGGTTAGTATAAGGAGTCGTGGGGGTGCAGTGCTAGAGCTGCTAACCAAAAGGTCGGCAGTTCGAATCTACCAGCCTCTTCTTGGAAGCCCTATGGGGCAGTTCTACTCTGTCCTATAAAATCGCTATAAGACAGAATCGACTCCACGGCAACGAGTTTCAGCAAGGTACGGCGTACAGTGGTTAAGCGCTCAGCTGCTAATCCACAGATTAGCGGTTCAAACCTACCCAGCCGTTCTGCTCTCATAAAGGTCACACACTAGGAAACCCTATGGGGCAGTTCTGCTCCCTCACGTGGGGTCTCTAAGAGTGGAAAATCGACAGGACGGCACACAACAACAGTGGTTAGTGCAATTTGACAGTATGAGGCTAGAGTTTAAAGCATGGGCGAGGTAAAATGGTTCGGGAGGGGCATTCAGCACCAAGAAGGTACCAACTCCCTTTGATACCACTAGCTTGGCAGGAAAAGCCACCGCTGTTTGAGAGGGCCAAAAATTCCACCTTCAGTATGACCTGAAGTTAACCAGATGCTTTTTCTCTGCAAAAATACACGTCTTCCACCTAACATTTCCTTTTCAAAAATAAAGTCATATAAAAATCTCACGTTGTGTGTCTCTTTTTCTAAACTCAGTATAATCTAGATTTTTCCAGTGTCAATCACTAAAAATCTAATTTCTCTAGATCAGTGGCTACATGGTGCCATGGTGCTTCATTAAACAAAATGACAACAGAAAAAAAAGAGTAGGCTCTGACATCCAAAAGCTGGCTTGGCACCCACGAGTTGGTCATATTAGCATCTTATTACACATAAATAATCTTACAGAATACCATCTTCAGACAAGGTTTCTGTGAGACTATGGTAAACTGCGACAAAACAAGGCCATTTCATTGTGTGTTGTTTAAGCACAGACTAAAATAAGGTCACTGTGCTTTCACAAAATACCAAACATTCCCTTGACTAAATGAGTGACGGCTACTTCTTTACCAATTACAGCTTTATTTTTGTCTAGTCTGTCCTCACTATAGTACCATTTACTGAGATACTCAGTCTTAGAATTGCTGCTGCTATCTGACAGCATCCAATCTAGACAAACCCAGCTTCCTTAAACCTTCCCCTAAATCACAGAAAAAAAACCCCACTAAAGCCCAAATTCCATGATAGTTCTACTGATGTCTTAACCTTGTAACACTTCATGGTTCCCCATGGTGTGTGTACTCTCTTCCTGCAACATGTATTAAGCCCAACTTTTTCAAATACACGTGTTCCTGGGTGAACAAAAAAATACTTGGCGTGCTACCTGATGAGTAGTAGGTTTGCTGTTCTAAATGAAGCTGTAACGAACATCCATCTGTGTTTATCTGGGACAGACACTGTTGGCTGGTCAGCCAGCTTCCAGTTATAAAGCCCTTCTTTCTTACTTGCCTCCACAACACAGAAGAGCTAAATTGCATTTTCCCAACTTCCTTGCGGCCAGGGGTGTCCATGGATAGAACTGGCCAGCGAGATATAAAGCAATATCTACTGGGAGTTTTAAAGAAACTTTAATTTTCCTCACAAAGAAAGATATTTCTAAAGAGTAAAGCTGTATATTTTGTGTGGTATCCCAGTTTAATTTGCCAGCTATTTCCTCATGATTATATTTTACATTATGTATTTTTGGCAGGAATTTAATGGGAATGATACTGTCCTTCTTAAGGCATCATTATCAGGATGTACTAGATGTCAGTGTTTACAATTACTGGTGCTGTTACATATGAACAGTTGATTAAGCCTCCAGGATTCTCCACTGTAAAGTCCCTTTCAATCAGTTTTGTGGGGAGATACTTTCAGAGTATGTTAGTAGTAGATTCTCCATCAAATTTTCACCTATTTACCTTAATATTTATTGATATTTCTAGCCTAAATTAATTTTTACTATTATGGATATAAAATTGGTGGTTTTCCAACTTATTCCATGTCTATTGGTTGGCATTCTACTATAACAAATGGCTTTCCACATCTCTTATCTGTTTATATCAGTATGGATTTATGAATTCTTATTTAAGGGATTCACACGTACTATTAATATTATTCACATAACACACAAATTGCTTTAGATCTGGCTAGTGAAATCCTGTTCAAGGAATCTTCTCTGTCGCTCTGACTTGTGTTCATCATGCTTTGAGCTCTTTGAATACTTAATTTCTAATACTATATGGTTCAGGCTCATTGCGTACTTGCCCTACTCCAGCCCTCATATCAGCTATTCCTTCCAGAAGCCCTGATTTCAATGAATGAAGAATGTAGTTAGTGCCAAGAACCAGGCGCTAGATGTGATCATTGCTACTGGGCTGTCATTGATGTAGACCCTCTTAGCTATCAAAGCTACCAAATATATGCATACATATGTTTATCTATACACCCACAACCACCTACACATACATACACCCACACATATATCTGTAGTTCTACGGCTTTCATACTGATACACTCAAATGCAATCCAGCATACATCTTTCTATGTTTGTAACTAACTCCATTATCCAACATATTTGTTGATTTGTTAAATCATAAAATACACATAGAGCAGTTTCAGAATTACTAACCCATACCACTGTGACATCACGCTTGGTAAGGTAGAGGGTCAGTGAAAAAAAGGAAGACCCTCAACGAGACGGATTGACACAGTGGCTGCGACAATGGGCTCAAGCATAACAATGATTGTGAGGATGGTGCAGGACATGGCAGTGTTTAACTCTGTTGTACACAGGGTCACTGTAAGTCGTAACCAACTCAGCAGCACATAACAACAACCACTGTGAAAAACTCAACGAACTAAAATTCAATATTTGGTCTTTTTGTTTTTAGACTGAGGATATATAGTCAATATACTGAGTTCAAAATCCTTAAATTTGTTCTTGCTTCCCCCTTTAGGATGGTTATTTTATTCATTTGAAATACAGATACACTAATGTGCAACTTTGATTTTAACTTGTTTTATCCTCATAATTGATTTTATATTATTGAGTATGTAGATTATTCACGTTTCCAATATGAAAACTATACAAAAAGTTACACTCTGAAACATGCCACTCTGTCTACCGCTTCCACTCCTTTCTCACTCCTACAGCACTTCCTTCCTGTTTAACCTAATTTGTACACAATCAAATTAACTATCTTCTGGTTTATTATTCCCATAGTTCTATCTTCAGAAAACAATCAGATGTAATTATTTTCTTTTCCCTTTTTCTTATACAACATGTAGCATGCTTTTGACAGTGCTTTTTTCACTTAATATACCCTGAAAATCACTCCATATAAGTACATTCTCTCTTCTTCTTAGGCACCATCAAGTTGGTTCCAAATCATAGTGACCCTATGCACAACAGAACAAAACACTGCCTGGTCCAGCACCATCCTCACAATCATTGTTATGCTTGAGCCCACTGTTGTAGCCACTGTGTCAATCCAACTAGTGGAGGATCTTCCTCTCTTTTGCTGACCCTCTACTTTACCAAGCAAGATGTCTTTCTCCAGGTACTGATTCCTCCCGATAACATGTCCAATGTATGTAGTCTCGCCATGCTTGCTTCTAAGGAGCATTCTGGCTGTACTTCTTCCAAGATAGATTTGTTCGTTCTTTTGACAGTCCATGGCATATTCAATATTCTTAACCAACACCACAATTCAAAGGTGTCAATTCTTCTTCTGTCTTCCTTATTCATTGTCCAGCTTTCAAATGCATATGAGGCGATTGAAAACACCATGGCTGGGGTCAGGAGCACCTTGGTCTTCACCCCTTAAGGAGCAAGGGAGAATGAAGAAAACTAAAGATACAAGAGAAAGATTAGTCCAAAGGAGTAATGGACCACAACTACCACAGACTCTATCAGACTGAGTCCAGTACAACTAAATGGTGCCTGGCTACCACCACTGACTGCTCTGACAGGGATCACAATAGAGGATCCTGGACAGAGCTGGAGAAAAATGTAGAACAAAATTTTAACTCACAAAAAAAGACCAGACTTACTGGCCTGACAGAGACTGGAGAAACCCCGAGTGTCTGGCCCCCCGACACCCTTTTAGCTCAGTAATGAAGTCCCCTGTGAGGTTCACCATTCAGCCAACGATTAGACAAGCCCATAAAACAAAACAAGACTAAAGGGACACACCAACCCAGGGGCAAGGACTAGAAGGCAGAAGGGGACAGGAAAGCTGGTAACAGGGAACCCAAGGTTGAGAAGGGAGAGTGTCGACAGGTCGTAGGGTTGTTAACCAGTGTCATAAAACAGTATGGGTACTGTTTAATGAGAAGCTAGTTTGTTCTGTAAACCTTCATCTAAAGTACAATAAAAAATAAATTGTGGGAAAAAAACATTAAAAACCCTAAGGAGCACAGTTCTAGTCTGACACAAATGAGGTCGCTATGAGTTGGAATAGACTCCACGGCAGCTGGTTTTCTTGACTGCCCCAAATAGTTCATTGTTGTTGTTGTTGTTAGGTGCCATTGAGTCAATTCTGATTCATAGTGACCCTATGTACGACAGAACGAAACACTGCCTGGTCCTGCACCATCCTCACAATCGTTGCTATGTTTGAGCCCATTGTTGCAGCCACTGTGTCAGTCCATCCCACTGAGAGT